ATTGAAGAGAAATTGGACAATTAGGACAGAGCGGTGCAAGTAGCAGCTTATGTAATGTTTGATTGTGATTCAAATCCTGATGGAACCCGTGGAGCAGAAATTAGAAAAGGAAGGAGAAATCAAAGATTAATGTCGTACATTACGTGTCCCTGTAATCAAATTGGAAATAGAAGCTTTATGAGAAGCTGCCAGAAGGCATAACTGGTTAATGGACAAAGTCTTACAAAGCAGATTTCGGTAGGTTTTTATAAATTTATGTACTTGCATTATACATTTCAGAAGTGGCATGGCCAGTAATGTATAATGCTGAAGTGGATCTAGTATGTTTAGACCTCAGACCTAAGACAGTGCCTTAAAAAGATGTTTATGTTAACATTAGAGTCACGGGTTATTTAAGCGATAGACCAACACAAAGTAGCACCTATTGTGTCTAGAAAGGAAATTTGACTGTTTGATTGATTCCTGCCTGAGAAAATGCTGTGTGTACGGTAGTCCTATGGCATCACTCCCTGCTCCCTCTGCTGCATTGGTAATCAGGTCTAAGTTGTTAAACATGTGGCAGCTCCAGTTACCAGGAGTTGTTTCACATTGGAGAAGTACCATATACTGTTGACACACGCAATAAGTTACAGCCAGATCCGTTTTTTCTCCTGTCTGCCTTGCCCCTCTGGGGTACTTCAGTTGTCTCCTGATCTCTAGACATCATTAGCCTTCCTTGCCTTTTGACCAAGTGTGTTTGCCTCTGCCCATGTCTGGAATGATCTGTGAAATCACATTGACCCAAACTTGGACTTCAAATCTGTCTCTCCTGGAACCTTTGCCAAATTAGTTCGTTCGTTAGTTTCACATATGAAACAAAGACAGGAAGACCAACCTACATACCACATAAGTTGGGTATAAGTTTGATCAGTTATACATAGATGTTTCTCCTCAGCCCTTTTTCCTACTTGAGGCTTGGGTTCTGTCAGACATGGGCATTGTGGAGTCAACAAGTCATCTCAATGTCATGTATTGGTTCTACCCAGCCACTGAAGCAGGTGAGTCCAATCTTCACCGTGAATTAACCTGTGCAGATTGGACTCACCTGGTTAATTGACTGGGTAGATTAAATACATGACATGGAGATGACTTGTTGACTCCACATTGCCCATGTCTGGGTTCTGTTCTACAGTTCCATTATAGAGATATAAAATGAAACGTGCTTTTATGATTTCTTTTTTCTTCCTTCTTGGTTGATGTTATTTATTGAACTTCCTAATATGTATTCAGGGTCAGCATCAGGGCATAGAATATACACAAACTGCCCTAAAGCCAGACAAATTTACTACAACTTTTCCACACATTGGAATGCCATCTCTCAATCAGTCTCCCCTGTGTCCATGTCTGGGATTGTGTATGGCAGGCCGGGTTGTCCTGTGTGTCCCTTTTGGTGGTTTTCAATTCAGGAGGCATTTGAAAAAGTTGTCTGAGCCACCAAGACTGCCAGAAAACATCCAGAGCTCTGAGGTGCTTGAGCTGTATCTTGTCCACCCCCAAAGCCTTGCCACCATGGAGTTTTTTTGCCCCCCTGATTGATAATGAATCTGGCCCCTAGCACCCTGTCTATTTTTCCACCATTAAAGGCAAATCAGCCTGATTAAGGAGATCCTTAAATTATTCCTTCCAATAATAATGTCAAACGATGTCCTCATTCTTGGTCAGCAGCTCCCCTCTCCCATTGAAAACAGTGTTGGCAAAGAACTGCTTTCCCTCCGTGGCACAGGACAGTTTGTCAGAATTGCTTTGAGTCCAACCAACAGTATTCCTTCATGGCCTCTCCAAACCCCTCAGACACCAGTTTTTGCCTCTGCAACTACCGCAGCAGCAGGCTTGGCCTCAGGATACCTGCTTACTGCCTCCAGGCTTGATGGGACTTCTTCTTCAGCTTGAGAGCCTCCCTTACTGTGGCTTGCCAAGTCTGTCTGGCTTCCTCTTCTTCCAGTGCATCCAGATCCCCACCAGGGTTTTGTAGATGGACCAGGTCTATGGTTGAGCGTCAGAAGATATGTCTGCAAAGTCTATCATCAACCTCCAGCCTAGGTCATTTCCTGGTGCCAGGTGTCCTAATTGACATCATTATGCCTGAACATGGTGTTCATTATGGACAATCTGTGACTTGCACAGAAGTCCAAAAATGAAATACCACTCTGGTTCAGAGCTGGGGTTCCATTCCAGGGGATGTTAAGAAGGCTTGGTACTGTATTCCGTACTGCCGCCCGACCCATAGGCCAAAACCACAATCAGAGATCTCCAACTCACCCGAAGGCAAAGGAATGTGACCCTCTTGTCCACCAGGGTAAACTCCAACACAAAATGGCTGATATTGGGGAGACAAGCAGTCTCACCCGCGCTCTCCATCTCCCCCCATGGGCCACTCCACAGCAGAAGAGAGTTCAGCTCCTCTCAAGGATCTGGGTTCAAGAGTCCACGCTATGCGTGGAGGAGAGCCCAACTATTTCTGTCTGATATGGCTCCTTCCTCCCTCAGTGAGGTGACATTCCATCTCCCTAGAGCCAGTCAAAGCCCCTGTGGATTGGGTTGTTAAATTCTCTGTCACTGACTGCCGCCCAATCCTCTTTGCACCGGTCCTTCGTTGTTCCCCTTGCAGATGGTAAGCCAACTGGCGGATGGCCACTGATCTATAAAGTCCCCTGTTTGATGGGTCATAAACAAAAGTTACAAAGCAGTTACCATATCCTGATGGTTCCGGTAAGCCTTTCACTTAAGCCTGAACAAAGTATTTACTTAGCAAGCTCCTAGGTCTCATGTTCAGTGCATCACTGCAAAAACTGAAACATAAAATGTTTGAAATAATTGTATTGTCTCTTTATTTGAGCAAGCAAGAAGGAAAATTTGCTAATGGAATAGAATGAAATTCCATTAAGCTTCTTCCAGATTGCGGGGGAAGCTGAAGTTGCATAATATTTTACTATCTTACTTAAGGAAGCAAATACTCATTCCATTGGCAGATCATTTTTCAAATGATACACATTTTTTAAAAAAGAGAATCTTACTTATTTTCATATCAGTTTTTTTCAGTGTTACTATCAGTTTCTGTCTGTGTTGCTAACTGCTGAGCAGCACAAAATTGTGACAAATTTTATGCAGAATGTTAGTCAAAGTCACATCTAATTTGCATTGGTTGTCGGAACTGGAGTCGCATTCCAAAAGATCAAATTCAGAACCACTTATGAATGGCACATAAATGTGACCTGGAAAATTCAGATAGGGGCCAAATCTTAGCATCCACACTTGTTTTATACACCCTGAACTGATCACCTGAACCCCCCCAAAAATCAGATTTGTGCCACATTTGCCCTGCAGTATGAACAGGGCATAATTCTAATATGCCACATCTCCTGTCAGCATTTCAGCTCTGTTGATATTTGTTAAATTTTGGAGCTGGAAAAAAACAACAAAAAAACATTTGTGTGAGGTTATCTTCCCTGTAAACTGTTTTTTTTTTTAACAGCATTAAATCTGACCTAGTTGCTTCCCCATAGTTTCAGATCAATGCTAATTTCAGCTTCTGTTTCATGATTATCTGTCTTCTTGCAACATGTAATTCATTTTTTCCACAATCAATCTTTCTTACAATTATAAATGCATACAATTTTATCTTTGAGGCTTCAATGGAAGTTTTGATGTAAACAGTGATGTATTTTTCAGGATGGCATACCATCCTGAGTTTTTTTTTTAGTTTTATATAGCAAACTTGCATGTCTGTTGAATGGGGAAGGTTGCCTCTTTGATGTGCATACTACAAGCATATTGAAAAGAAAATTATAGCAGTCGACCATGGGTTGATGATGGAGCTGAGGTTTTCATCCCATTCAAAGCTTATGACTTGGTGAGAGAAAGTCTGGGCTACATTTGAACATCTGGATTTAAAAAAAACTCATTACTCATTAAATATGTACAGCATTATTCCATACTAAAATTCTGTTTGACATGTATAAATGATTCATTGTCGTTACAAAACATAAAGAATTTAATTTTTAAGATTGCTTTGATTTCTTGGCATTAGTTGAAAGGGAAATTCTGAGGAAAAATCAACCCTGAAATAAGTTACTCTACAGTGATTACCCTCACAGAGCACCATTCAAGTATAAACTGGAGTGGTGTAAACAGAAACATACTGTAGTTTATCTTTTGCTAAGAGCTATCTGAATCATCTGATTGGCTAGCTTTGTCTCTTGATTGCGTGTGGAGATTTACAGCATGTCAGTGCTGACAGCTGGAAAAGTCCCATTAAACTGGTGACCACATTCCTTAGGTCTATCATGAAAGATGACCCGATGCCCCTGAGCATGCAAAAACACCACACACCTTAAGTCACACACACAGATGCAGAGAACAACAAAGGCTTGTAAAACATGACAGATTTATCCCCCTCCCCACCCTTTCACTTTTGGTAGCTCTTTGCGCTGTGAGGCACTTTCTTATATGAGCATATAAATGTTGAAACATGATATTGGGAATAAATGTTGACTTTGGTTGCACTTCTAGATTGTATTAGCTGCTCTGCCTACTTGATGCAGGTTTTTTTTTAAGCCACAGGGATTGATTTAATACACTGATTTTGCTTGAATGAAGTTTCTTGTGCAAAATTGAAAGCCAGCAAAAAAAGAGCAGCCTAGGGTTCTAAAATCTGGGTTTCTTGCTCAGACACGTTAGTTATTCATTCATATGAGTTTTTGATTTCATTTTTCCTATTTCTTTTTTTTTTTTTTGCAAATATGTTTAAACTTTGCCCTTTAATTTTGAATCAATGCTTTTCAACAACATTAGACACTAATGTAGGGTCATATTTTATCTTTAATTGCAGCTAATTTCCTGCTGGATGTTTTTCTCCAAGCGTTATCTGTCATTTGAGCTCTCTTGGATCCAGCAGGTTGCTGCAGCTTTACTCCCACCCCTTTTATCCCAAACTTTTCTCTTCAGTGAAACTGATTCATTCACTTTAACACACCTATCCTCTGTCTCTCAGATACAGACAGATTTACTTCTTTGCTCTCTTTCACTTGATAATCTGCAGCTTGACTTGGATAGTTTTTATGTTGTTTTTCTTTTGACTCTTGAAAGATTGAACTCAAAGGATAATGTCTTCATTGGTAAGTTAAAAAAAACTCCAGAGCCTACTCTAGGATTATATTTGAAACACATTTTAGTAATTGCACTTTAATATGACATTTTACAGAGTAGTTATGGATTTCAACAGCGTGGATACCTTTAAAGACTGAATCTTTGGATTAAGGCCAGGATTTCTAATTTTCAGATGCTCTGCTGCTCGTTAAATAGAACTCTCTGTCAAAGCAGAGTAATTTTCCTTCCTTGCTCCTTGTTGGGTATAAAAATAAAATGATAAATGCAAATGGTCTATATTGTTTTAAGAACACATACAGTAATATTTTGTGCAGAGCCGTTTCTTTGCCTCCGTGTGCATTTGCCTCTAGATGTGCATCTACTCATGCAAATTCAACAAATGGCCTTATGCAGTCATGTCAACTCTAGTGTATCATGGATAACAAGAGCACATCAAGTTGTTGGTTAGAGCAATGTCAGAAAAGGAAATTGTCTGTTATGTAAACAGGAGCTATTTCACATTTTTGTGTGGACCTACCAGAGTCCAAATGCAAATGCAATGTGTTATATTGGCAAACATCTGTAACTTGTAAGTCGCATATCAAAGTTTCCTGTATTTGTTAGCTTGAACCAGCTTTAGATCTAGATTTTTTTTTTTTTACACCAAAGACATCTGCCAATGCAAGCAGTAGCTTCAGAGAGGTGTGTGAGTGTGCATGTTGCGCATGCGTCTCTACTGTCACCAGTTTCCCACCTACGGGGATAATCCATCCTGTGAAGTGGTGAGGTGGAAAATGCCATTATCTAGAAATGGCTGACATGCAGTTAGACTTGGAGGCATATGAAGTGTGCATATGTGTGGGTGTGTGTAAAAAGTTGAGATAGGAAATAAAAGAGGATGGGTGGGAATAAAGGCCAGAGGTGGTAAACCTTATTTTGTAACATTAAATAATCCACCTGGAAAAGTGATGAACTAAAAGCTGCAGACACAACAAATGCACTTACTTTCTGGCAAAGCAGAAAAATCCTTGTGATCCCAGCATGGTAAGAGTGCAGGTTGTAGTCACAGAGGGATCATTGAGGACATGCCTGTGTATTTGACTTAGGATTGTAGAAATTGCAGAGATGTCTTGAGGCATTGTTGGGATGAACAGTGATGATGTCTGACATCCGTGTTGGTCATAAGTTAGGTATTTGGAGCAACACAAGGATTCAGGCTTAAAAAAAGCTACACTGACAGAAATTTTGTAGAAAATAGTACTTCCACAATGAATAAATCACCATAAAACATCTTTTTCCAACTTCATTGATTGCCAATCTGTCAAATTAATAACAAAAAAAAAAAAAAAAGTATTCAATTGAAATCACTTAATAGCAGCCTTTTAAGATAAGATGCAAAATATTGTTTGTTCAATGCACACTGAAAATAATTAAATCCATTTCCAAACAGATGAACTATAATGCCCCTCTCCTAATCTATGGTCAATGTATAGGATTTAAAATGAACATTTTGTTCACTACATATTGAGATTCACCTTTTAATATAGATGTAGCTGCTAAATAGCCTTCAGACTCTCAAGGAAGATTGGAAAAAAACACCAATTAGGTTATTTAAAGAAAGACTACAAGAAGGTGCGGTTTTACTATCCAGGTCTCATTTCTCAGGCCCCTGGCAATGTTTACTACCTTTTTTTTTAGCAAGCTTCTCTAACTTTTTCATAAGCATAAGATTAAGGCAAATTGTAATACTTTCTTCCTTGAGTGACACTAGGTACCCAAGTTCGAAGCGTGGTTGGCTCACAAAAGACTCAATAGGTATGACTTTCTAACTCGCTGTTGGAGGATTGTCTAGTTCATGAGGTTTCTTTTTTAGATGGGAGTGATGAAGAAGCTTTTAAATGCCAACCTGATATTGAATAACTAAAACAAGGGCTGTTTGCATTCTCAAGACAATGTACTGTTTGTGCATATTGGATTCTCTAAGGACTTTCCCCTTCTCAATGACCCTGCTAATTTGCTTAAATACAGAACTTAAAGGCGAAATTGTGGAGTGGATGGTTTGTACTTTGTTATGGCAGATTGAGTGCTCTTCTTCTTAAAGGGGAGATTTCTTTTCCACTGTTGCTACAGTACATGCATGCTCAGTACAGGTATAGGGATTGTTGCAAAGTAAAACTGTCCTTAGATGGAAAACAATCAACCAGTTAGATAAACTGATTGTGAATGCATTATTTGATAACTTTAGTGTGTTTGTGTTTTCCAGTGTAAAGTGCCTTGAGACACGTTGTAAATCGGCAATTGACATCTTCAAACCAAAGAACAAACATGACTGTTATTTGTAGCTGTGTGTAAAGAAACAAGGATATCAGCCAGCACCTACATGTCTGAGCAGATTGCTCTTTTTCATGACAAAAAGATAGAAGTAATCTGGAAAGTAATCTATGTGGAGGCTGCTCTTATCTTTTATAGTAAAGGAAGAGCTACACAAAAAACAAATGGATTTAATTTACCGGTATGTTTGTGTTCCAGAGTGATAAATAATGGTATAATGAGGTCCAATTTACAAGCGTCTGAAATGGCTTCATCAGTTTGGCGCTTAGATTAGAACCATTTTTACAAAGGGAAGCTCAGAGTTTAGCCCATGCTCCTCTGTGTTATGAAGCAGGATACTTTATAATAGCCTTTATTTGTAGTTTTACCAGAATGTCTCATGAGATGAAGACCCAACATTACGCTTTGATAGTAAAAATCACTTCCTGGCTGGCAACACCTTGGGATCCTTAAGAATACTTCTGAATGTTCATGTCCTGTTAGCTCTGAGAACCCATCTAGAACAAGCAACAAATGACTGACATCGATTACTAGGTAGAGGAATCAAACATTTAGCACCACTCACAAGCTGTCTTACACCACAGCTACACTGTGCATTACACATCCTTGAGTCCATTGCAAATTTCCCCAAAAATGATATTCTATTCTACTGTATTCTATTCTATTCTATTCTTAATACATTCCTAATTTTTTCAGTGGTTACAGCACATGAATGCACATGGATGCCTCCTATAATCTATAATGGACAGCAGCTATGGGCTGTTTATGGCTAAAGACTATGGTGACTGGGGTTAATTTTGACTATAAATGCTTTTGATTACATTTTATGTTAATATCTTACTTTTTTTTTTAAGTATCTTTAAAGTACCGTATTAATGCACGTCTATGAGTCTCATACCCATTTAAAACTCACCTTAGCATGGACACAGCACAAGGCTGGAAGGCTCTGTCTGCCATTCATCATAACACAAGAGCCTCTCCTCTCTGCAGTACAGTACAAAGGTGATGCATGCAGAGACAGATCTTAGATCTGCACTGGTATGTGAGAGGGAGAGTGAATTTTTTTTTGGCTTATGCATTAGAGTTCAAGCCCTGCCAGTTCTCACTTCCTTCTGCAGGAGCCGTAAACTATTCAGCCTGCAGCCCTTCTGGCTTAGTCAGACCAGATGGTCAAATCACATGGAGGAATTTTTCTGGAATTTAAAGTCGTGTTTATCTTATTTTTTATGCCGCAATCATGCAGATTTACAGCCGAAGTGCTCTCATGAGGAAGCTCATGAAGTTGAATTGGCCTGATAGATGGGTTGGGACTCATTCAAACCCAAAAGAACTTTTGAAAACGTTGTCATGTTACTGAGTGAAGCAGCAGAACTCTTTTTGATGTTAGGCATTTGCACATGCTGGTGCTGTTCTCACATGCACGTTTGCAAGATGTGTGGGGATTAGCAATCAGATGTAAGACATAGCAGAGAGCATCATTTCTCTTTATCAGTGTTATTTCTTTTTTTTTCTTTGTTTATTCAGTCGATTTTAACCAACTCTTACTGCCGTATAATGTATTATGTGCTAAAGATTAGATCAGATGCTGACTGCACTTTACATAGTACATGTTTATTATTCAATTGATGAATTAGCAAGACGTGTGGGCTAAAATCAATAACTAAATGCAACATTTTGTAATATGTTGGGGCTGGATATTGCTAAAGTCTCAAGCTAATTGTTGTACTGCTTTGCAAAATCATACATTCACTCTATTTTAGTCTAAACCCTGAATTTATGAATGTAGATATACTTTTAAATGTCTCATTATTTAATACCACTGCTCTCTTTGCTCATTGATTGCTGGAAATGTGCACCAGCCCCCAGGAATCAATGTTAGCACAACCAGGATGTTTAATAAATACCTTCCCTTGAGAAAAGACTTCCAGTCTTTGGTTTTTGTAAACTTTTACCCTCTAATGAGATTTTTATAGAGATTTTATTTAGATTTTATTTAGATTAGGATTTTCTTTTAAGAGTTGTAATTTACATTTGATATGTCTGTCTAGCCTTCTAATTACAAGTGATATTTATATCAGAAGCAGAGTGTTTTTGTTCCAATTAGCTTTACTGCACTGTAAAAAATAAATAAATAAATAAATAAATAAAAAAGGGGCATATTTGTCTTAAGGTTTTGACCATTCATAACCTTTTAACAGTCATTTTATACAGCATCCTATTAGGATTCAAGTTAAGCCCTTGACTTGGCAATTCCAAGATCTATTTTGAGGCAGTCAGAGGTTCCCTGGATTGAGCTTTGGATTGTATTATGCTATATAACCCAAGTGCTCCTTAGATTATAGTTATAAACTGGTGGTTGGAAATTTTCATTTCCTGTTGTATTGTAAGAATCAGAATTCATCTCTCCGTCTATTTTGCAAGGCTTTTCAAATGCCTAAACCCGCTGATTTTAGTCCATCATATTTTCTGCAATGTTATGCTCTACTTTTGAAATGTTGTTGGTTTTATTGTTGATGTAATGCAAAACTTCCCACTTTTGACTTGTCAGTTCACAGACTATCATTCTTGTTGTATTGGATCAGGGCCACCAAGCTATCTGTGGGCAATCTGAAAAGAACAGTTATGTTCTTTTTGGTTAGCAATGGCTTTGGCCTTTGAACTGTCCCATGAGAACCACTTCTGCTCAGTGTATTAATTAAACTGTGAAAACCGACTTTAACTGAAGCAAATGAGAAATTTCTTTAAAGGCACTCTTTTCTTTCTAACCATTTTGAGTCATCGATGTCATATTGGTGTAATTTGTAGGTATTTGTAGGTTAGTTAAATCCTGTGAATATTAATATTCTGGTGAAGGTTCTCGGTCATCAAGGTCATGGTCATTCAAAAAAATGAAAATAAATACACTGGACTTGGTTTCTGACTTTAAAGACGTTTCTCTTCCCATCCACGAAGCTTTTTTAATTCAAAATGTCAGGAATAGCATTGAGTTTGAGGTTTTACACAGTAGCCCAAAAAAGCCTGGTTTTTGTTTTGAAAACATGCAAATTGGAACCGACGAAGGGGTCAACCCATTTGGAATGGGTGTCGTTTAGCTACTTTTGTTAGACTGCAATACCCCATACCCATCTAAGTGTCTGAAAGATGGGTCGTTAGATGGGATTGTTGGACTGGCTGAATGGACGAGGTCCTTTACTCACCTGTGCAGGGAGTGGCTGCAATGATAACAGGAAGGGATTAACACAATAGCTGCATTGTAAGTTTTAGAAAGCTGGAACCTGAGTCCACCTCCTCTGTTTAAGGTTGTTTTTTCTTACCTAACATAGATGGCTACCTTCACGCTCCTCTCAAACCACCTATTTTCTTTATCCAAAATTTGAACATTCTGGCCCTCAAATAGATGTCCTTTGTCCATAAGGTGTAGATGTACCGCAGAGTCTTGTCCAGAGGAGATAACTCTTCTGTGTTGGGCCATGCATCTGTGGAGAGGTTGTCTGGTTTCTCCAATATAAAGATCAGAGCATTCCTTACTGCACTGCACTGTTTACACCACTCCGCTCATATTTGGTCTGGCGGTTTTGTCCTTAGGATGCACTAGCCTCTGTCTAAGGGTCTTGTTAGGTTTGAAATGTACTGGGATTTTGTGTTTGAAGAAATTCCTCTTGAGTTTTTCAGAGACTCCAGCAACATATGGGATGGAGATGTTTTTGCGTTTGATCTTCTCACCATTATGTTCTGCTGGGTGTCTTTTGGATTTCCTTGCTGAAGAGCATCTTTGATGTGTTTCTGTTCTTTGTTCTGATGACTGAAAGTTTGTGTTCCAGTGGGTGGTGTGAGTCAAAAAGAAGGTATTGGTCTGTGTCAGTGGATTTCCTATAGGCTTCAATGTTGAGGTTTCCATTTCCCTTCATACTCCCCAAACAGTCTAGAAAAGGTAGCTTGTTGCTATTAGCATCCTCTCTGGTGAACTTGATGTTGTGGTCAACAAAGTTGATGTGTCTTGTGAAAGCTTCCACTTTATTTTGATGAATGTGTGATCCACATATATAAACCAATGGCTTGGTGGTGTTCCTCTGAAGATGTCCAAAGCTCTCTTTTCCATTTCTTCTATGTAAAGGTTCGCTACAATTGGTGACACGGGAGATTCCATGGCACAACCATGCTTCTGTCTGTAAAAATGATCCATGAACTTGAAATAGGCTGTGGAAAACCACTAAGGGGGCTAAAATAACAATTCCGAGGGATGATGGCAATTTTTAATGTAAAAATCAAGGTAATAAATTATTATACAAATATTTAAAAATAAAAAAAAACCTAAAGAACTTAAGAACAATTCAAATTTAAAATGACAAACTCTGATTTAGATATTCTAATATTTACAAAAGTAATTTTTTTTTTTTTTTTTTTTTACAGTAAATAACCTGGTAAAGAAAACCTGAAAGAAAAAAAAATGTTTTTATTTACTTGGCTATAGGGACTAGGTTCCAAAACTGTTTGCAGTGAAAGTGATGTGGCGAGCAACAGCTCAAGGCCTTGAAAGGCGCCTTTGAAAGAAATAAAGCGTTTGCAAAACTGCAAGACTTTATCAGAGCTGAAGGAAAACAATCTTGATCTGCAGTTGTGGGAGTTTTGCGTGTTAATTATAAGTCATTTGCAAATTCAAAAACTGTCTGGGTGTTTATCTTAGAGGGTCCTTAATTACTTTGCCACTCCCAGTTCATTCTCTGTACTTTCAGATGGGAGCAAGGAGGCGCAGTAATTGATTGATAAGTGGAGCTGAGAAGAGCCGGAAAGGAGGAACAGGTGACTAGAGGAGGAAGACGAGTATGGGGCATTCATCTGTCTGGATCTTTCTGTTGTGCTTCACACTCTTTCATCAAAGGGCTGCAGCACAAGTTGAAGGTATGTGATGACATTTATATCGACTGTTGCCTGAACAACTCTCAAACACAATTTACTCCATCAGATAGTTCTGCTTTCTATTATTTCTGAGAGTTCAAAGCTTTTTTTTGCGACTTCAGTTTTAAATGACTGCTTTTTATTTCTATAGGCTTTGGCTATAATCTATTTGATTAGCAGTCCAACCCATGACTGTTTAATGGAGCTTCCTAAAATACATATCTTGGCTACTCAAGTCTTCTCAAGTGTCCCTTCATTAAACCTTCTCATGTGATTAATTCATAGTGTAGATTCTAAACCAGTTGAAGTTTTATTCAAAACAAATTATCTGCTGGTGCCATGGACACTATATATATCTTCTTTCTGCAAGCCTGCCAAATGCATCCCATAGATACAGAAGGTTAGCCTTAGGTGCTATTGGATGTCATTTAAAGGTCATTTAGCAAATCAGAAATTGGATATCTTTCACCTGGAACATGATCGACAGAAAATTACAACATAGACTTATAGGAAAACGTATAAATATCTCTGACGTGAATGAAGCCCTTCCTTCTTTAGATTTGCTGACGGTGTATCTTATTGAAGGCAATGACTACAATGTCATTACCTGACCCTACAGGCTATTGGTTCAGTCCATAACACAATATAAACAACTCCAAGGCAAAAAACAGCTTCCATATGCAATATTGTATATACAATTGAAAACATTACAATTCTTTTGAAATCAAATTAAAAAATAAAACTTAATAAGTTCTTCTTAGGGATCATTGTAATAAACCAGTGCAAAGCGGGGCTTTTTCTTGGGCTGAAATTACAGAGATACGAAAATAAATAAATAAATTAATAGATAAATTAATTGATCTATTGCTATATGAATTTGACGGCCATTTTGCAAGAAAGGGGTTTTGTCATCTGCTAACGAGCTAATGATTAATTCCATACTAAAGATGTCTATTTTTAGGTAAACAGCTAACATTTCTGGAACTAAAATAAATAGATATGGAGAAGTTGGACATCCTTAAGGAATACAAACATTAATGTTAAATCTAGCTGTCCTACCTTTAGGTAGTTTTACACGGCTATTGATGTTCTGATATAGGCCTCCAATCAAATAAAAATTTCTCTAAAGCCTAAATATTTAGTACTGAAAACAAAAATCAGTGTTCCACAGAATCCAAGGCTTTATAAAAATCTAAGAAAAGAATAAGCCTTCATCATTGATTAAAGGTTTTGTAGAGGATTTTCCCAATTTCCAATTTTTTCAAAAAGACCAGCCCTCTCCACTTAAAATAAAAATGCACGTGCAAGGGCACGCATAAGCCCAATTCTCATTGTGCACGCTTTGTTTGAAAGTTGCTGTTCTCTTAGCTCATACAAGCCTACTGTGCCCGAACGTCTGCCATATCCCTAAATCCCTAAATCACTATATAGAGCGGGGATTATATAATGGACTTTATAGTGAACTCAGTTAACGTATCGGTCAGACAGAGGATCACTTAGACCACGGCATGGTGCCTGTGCCATCTTTGTTATTAGTAGCCACTGTCTGGTAGCCACAGCCTATGTTGATAGGGGGCTGCTGTGACCACAATTCCCATAATGCTTTGCAGGAGAGGTCTCCGCTCAAAGCATTCTGGGATATATCTGCCTCTTCTGAGAATTTCTTTTCTTCTCATACTCTCCCTAGACACTTTTTATCTAACCTCGGTCATTTTCAAAAGAACAGCGGTGATGACTACTGTCTAAAACTGTAGGTCACCACAGATATACGCCTGAAAGTCCGCATGCGCAGAAAACGATAGCTAACGGGGCGAGCACGTAGGACGACCTTACGTAAACGTATCACAAGAATGATTGACAATTAGGAGGACCACTTATACAGATGATCCACCCAGAAATGAAAGATCATCCTCTCTACCTTTAAGTCTCTATATTCAATTAAATCCTTTATTTTTCTAATATTGTTGTGGATCAATAGTATTTTTCCTGTTTGTCATCATTTTCAAATGGCTTTTTCATTTTGGGTCAGTCCTTCTATATTTATTTCATTTTTGTTTTTCGTATAACACATCTTTTGAGGTTTACTACCCAGAGCTGCTTAAAACATGTCATTTCCGTCTGCCATCTTGCCTCGGACCCCGTTGTTGATTTGGCTACCTGTTTTAAGATAGAATGGACATGGCTCTTTGTAATGGTTTATCTTCATATTTTTTTTATGACCTAAACCTGCTTTTAAAATATCTGTAGTTTTATCTCCGCCATGTTCTTCAGTCCTAGTGATATTATTTTTTCTCCAACAAACTTTGAGGTCTTCACAGATATGTTCGATATATACTGCGACAAAGTACAAGAAAAAGTATAGAAATTTTAATACCAATAAGGTGACTTCAAAAGCCAGTTGGCTTCTTGCATTTTATTTAAGGAGTGTCAGAATAAAGGGGAATTTACCTTAGTGTTTTCACATTTTTATGTACTCCAAACATAATTAATTTGGAGTTAGAACTGCAAAATGCTGGGCATTTTAAATTGAAATGCTACAATAAAGAAAGCACTAGATTTTTTTCTTCAAAAAAAAAAACAAACTTTGAATAAATAAATCAAATAAATGATGACTCTCCTTCTCTTATCAGGACAGTAAACTACAGTTTTTTCTGTTTGACTTGAAGTGTATTGGGTTCTTCCTTTGCTTAATCTTCAACTGACAACTAAATTTAAATCATAAATCATTACAATTGTCTACCTACCTGAAGTTAGTTTTAACATGAAAAAAAAAAAAAAAAATGCTTGGTTAAAAGGCAACCATGACAAATAAAAAAAAATGTATTAGACTTGTTTTCAATATTTTGAGAATGATTTTGCCCTAAAAGGACATAAACCCCAGACAAACATCTCTCAGGTTGTATATGATCTGTGGTGCACATTTTAGTTGTGACATTTAGACTTTAGCTGCTGTTGTTTAAACTTTTTTTGGTCTTCTAACTGACCTTTTCACAGGATCAGACCCACATGCTGTGCACTTTGCTTTCATAGTCAGGTACAAGAGCTGGACAGGAAACAAGGAAAAAACAGCAATTTTATAGAAAAATTGATAGAAGCTATTTAAACAACCCCTGGTTTATATTTTTTGTTGTCTGGATTGGCTGGTTAGAAATTCTCAATGAATAAATGGCAAAATAACGCATTTCAGCCTTATAATATTAGATAAAAATAAAATAACTTGCTTTAATATAATATTAGCAGGAAAGGTGCATACTGGTGCTTATACAATAATGCACTGACTTTAAAATTTCGGTCCTATACGATAAACTTCATGTAATATTGATTGAGAAAAAAAAAAAAATTTATTTTCATGTAATTTCTCAACTTTAGCTTCAGTCCAGCATTATCTTAAAAAGATAGATGACCTTCATTGAGTTTAAAAGCTTCGACTGTTTTTTTCACAACTGAAATATCTCCCAAAAGTCAACCTTAATCATTCTTCTCAGGAAAACAACCTTGTTAGCACCTTTTTTTCAGCAGTTCACTGAAATAAGTTTGTGCAGGTGGATTACCAAAGGAATGTCATTCAACTCCGTGCAACTGGTGAAAACTCTGTTCACTCCAGCATGTTTCATTATAAGGGTTTTTCAGTTGTACCAAATGAGTCCAGTTCCAGGCTTTATCTTTAGAATTTAGCAAACATAAATGATGATTTAGTTAGAGAACAATAAGTAAAATTTAAAATGGAAATATTTGATCAAGTCTGAATTTAAATGGTATCGAGAATCTGCTACATAAACTTGAACAAATTTGTCATGCTAAAAAACTGTGTGGCCAAATTCAAAGTAGTTTTTGCAAAGAGTGCTTTGAAACTCCTCCATAGGATGCAATGATGAAGATTTTATTTTTTAAGAATTATGCTCTTTGTGTAAAACCTGAAAGTAGCACAGAAGAAGGGACCATTGGTACATGAAGGTCATGTCACATACTGTACATATAAACTGAATGTATAAATTGCAATGAACATGACACTGAAAACAGCACTTCCAGTTATGTTTAGTTTACCTAACTGGCATTGGTCTTTTATTGTTTAATATCTCCATTCTGTTCACAAGGTTTGTACTTCTCATTTAAATGACTTTTTTGCATTAAAGGTTTTGTGTTTATGCTCACCCTGTTAGCTTTCATGTTTCTAAGATACCTGCTCTTTAAAAATGTGAATCGCTTCCCTTGTGTTTGGTGGTGCTGAATGCAGTAGTGCATCACTAAGGGGTGTTTTAGTGGTATTCTGCTGTATATGTTGAAGGTATTGAGCAATGTCTAATGGTTAACAATAGAGTTTTAACCTTTGAAAAGTCTGCATAGATAACCTTCAATAAAAACATTACTAATCTCTCAACTTGTGATGTGTCCTCATCCTTGGCATGTCGATCTTGCCTGCCAGCCCAGAGACACAAACCTCTGGATAATTGATCTTGTTTTCCATCCCACTCTATTCTTTTTTTTTTTTTTTTTTGACTGACAAAAGCCCCCAGCTGCTTCTAGCTCAGGGCATCCTCCACGTTTTATGTGCTTTTGCAATAATCGGAGGACTCAAAAGAGTATCCGACTGAATAGATTTGCTGCTTATGCAAAATGTGGCTGGTTTGCCTGTGTGAGATTCAACTCGAAGGATAAAATGGATGCGCATTGTTGTAGTTTTTGAAATTTCATCAATGATTTTATCTCGTTAGTGATAAATGTGCTCTTGCTGAACATAAACCAAAGCCAGAATGTACGCAAAGATGTTGGCTCAGCATGCGGGGGGCCGCAAAAATTGGATTCCTTGTGATATTTGCTGCCTTGATGAGATGTATAGGTGTGTAAGGGTGAATATAATATTGGATGGGCATGGCGCGGGGACATATGTCAGCTTCCCTGGATCCTGGGACAGCAGCCAAAGCAAGAAGGCAAGCAAGAAGCATTAGAAGGGAGCAAGCTCTGTAATCAAATTGAGGACAGGCGAGAATCACTTATCACTTACAGAACAATCAGCGAAGCCTATCTTTTATTCACCAGCCTAATCAATGCTGTTGTCACTTTTGTTTATTGCATATGTAATGCCAGAATATTGACTCAAAAGGTGTTTGCAGACACAGCAGATTGTGTGTATGTGTGTGTCTATATCCAGATTGCTTATCTCACACCTAAAAGCATCTAAATATATTCAAACTTAAGTTAAATGCATTTGTTAAGCGTGGCAACTGACCCTGATTTTGGGTGTGTTTACCTTATTATTCTAAGTGTTCCTCATTGCTATACTAAAGTTTTATTGCTGGAGTGCTCAGAATATTGATGGTCTCTTTGGCTCACTTGTGTCTCATTAAAAATTCATGGGGATTTGTGTGGTGAACTGGCTGCATGACAGAGGCTGGGGGAAAGGAAACACTCCTACATGGTGGAACAATACTGCCCTCTGGTGGTGAGTCTAGAGGACACGTCTCAAATCATTAAAATATTTTCTTTGATTTCCACCTAACGTTTGTTTGATATCATTAACTAGAATATTTGGCAGGCTAATATATTTCGACATAAAATGAATTTTTTTTAGATATAAAGGATCCTCATATATATGCATGCAAATGTATTTATGGATTTTTGTATTTGCCAAAATGACTCTACCTCTGATTGGCTCCCACAGCTCTGGGGGGAGCATTCCTGCAGGAAATGCTTTAAATTACAAAAGCTAAAAGCTAAAAGATGCTTCTTGGATATGTTCTGAATCAATATAAATGGGGGGAGTGGCGTCCTAGTGGTTAGGGCATAGAGCTTGGAATCCTGAGGTTCTGAATTCCAGCCCATCTGCCACAGACTGACACTTCCTGAGAAAAGGCCCTTAACCCCACACTGCTCTCCGGGTGCCGCACAATGGCAGTCCACTGTTCCCCAAGGCGGTGGTTCAAATACAGAGTTAAAGTTCAGTTCTGTAACATTATCAATGACCCCCTCACATCCCCACTATGAACTGTTCTCCCTGCTGCCCTCTGGGAAGAGGCTTCGAAGCACCCAATGCAGGTCCTGCAGATTCTGAAACACCTTCTTCCCCACCACCACCAGACTGCTGAACAGTTGAAAAAACTCCTAACTCATTTCACAGACTCTGTATCAACTTTCAACACCAAACCAAAACCATGCAAAATTGCACTATATATATTTAATGCTCTGAAAATATTTCTTCCATATAAATGTATCTTCCATATAAATGTTTTGACATGTCTTTTTTCTCCAAATGCTATTTACATTTGATCACTTTAAGAAATGGAAATGTCAGGAGAACTGTACAAATTGTTTTGTATATGTGCTGTGTATTCAAAATGACAATAAAAGAAGTCTAATTCTATGTTATACCCCTCAAATCTCCACAGTAGTTTATACATTTACTTGGATCTATTTTATTGGATTCTATAATTGTGATCTAAAAGGAAAAATCTTTTAGAAGCCTCTACCTGTTTTTATTTGTATTTTTTGTAATCTAAACATAAACCTCTTGCTCATAACCATTTGCAGCTCTGAATATATTCTGGGTTGTACTGTAATGCCGGTGGAAAGTGAGCCTGTAAACAAGTGTATCGCTGACCAATCCTTTGCCTTTGTCTTCTTTCACTGAAGCTCATTTGAAATGCGCATCACACTTTTTTATCTTTAAAATTTACAATAAAAAAAAGAAAAAAATTTTTTCCCTTCAACTCACAATGGTTTGTTTTGTTTTTTAAGTAAAATGTTTAATCGCTCAAGGGACAAAATTCCATTTCTTGGTTTTCAGCTTGCAGGACAGCAGTTCAAGCAGACATTGTGTTCCTGGTGGACGAGTCATGGAGTGTGGGTCAGACCAGCTTTTCCAGAGTCAAAGACTTCATCTCAGCCATCATGTCCTCCTTTCAGGACAACACAGTAGGAGCTGAGGGGGTTCGCTTTGGAGTCACGCTCTTTGGGGATGTTCCAAGGTACTCGAGCATTATCTTCAGACATCTTTTTAAATTGTTTTTTTACTTTTTGGGTTAAAAAGTCATCTTACTTAACAAGTTGTAGTCTCATAGAAAGCAATTATTTTCTTCTGCTCCAGCTTTTCTACATGACCCAGTTCTGATTCATCCCTTTGCTCTACAGGATGCTGGTTGCTTTGACAGACTACAGTTCACTAGAGGAGGTGCTCAGAACTGTTGGAGACCTCCCCTACGGTGGAGGATCCAGGAAAACAGGCAGTGCTCTGCAGTTTCTTGTAGATTCTGTGTTCAGCCCTGCCATCAGCAGAGACTTTACCCCAAAGGTGTTGTAGTTCATATGTTGAGATCAGTCATAAGTTACTGCACTTGCCTTGTGTTGTTTATTTCATTGTTTTTTTACAGCTAGCATGCACATGTTTGACAAAGAGTGGAAAAAGAACCCTTTGAGGGTGACAATCCATGCTGCAAATACATGCATACACTGTGCCCTGCATGACAGGAAATGACTTGCCAGGATCAGTATTTGTACTCCACAGGACACCGAGGCATAAACAAACAAAGTGGTCCACCATTTCACACTACCATGAATTTGATTAAAGTGTCCTGCTGTATGCTTGGAATAAAAATTGATCGCGTGTCCGTGGCTGACGGCCGATTTTCATCTGTTGGCATTGTCTTTAGTTCTGTAAAGTAATAAGAAAAACGTATTGATTTTTCAGCACTATTTTTGCAGGCTGAATCAAACTGTCAGTACTGTATGGCTTGCCAAAGCAGCTGTGAATGTAAAACACACACAAAACCTGTAAATGCGGTGGTCAGTGACAAATATTTAAGGTCCCCTTAAAGTTAAGAAATGTTCTCACCACAGGTTTATTCAAGTTTCATTAAGAAAACAGAAGAGGCACAATTTTGGGAACCCTCTGAAGTCTAAAACACATTATTTTTCTGCATTTTTCTTATTATATATTCATTTTTGCAACTTGGTTTGAAAGTCTTCTTAAAAAGGTTTTAGTTAGTTTTCTAATGTTGCCAATGCTTGTTTCAACAGACATTCTAGCATGAGGAAAATTGGATAATTTCAACCTCATTTATGCCAAATCCACTTTTATGAACATTACAGTAGTCATTAAAAGTGAAATTATACTTCTCTTATAAAACATAACATCCCAGCATCCTAGTCATAGTGTGTTAGAGGAGAACGGAGAATGAGGTCAAAATATAACCTTCACTTTCCTCCCAGAGCTGAGCATAAACAAAGAAATTAGGAAAGTCAGTTTTAAGGGGCCATTATGAAATTCCTGATTATGTTTCTTATATTTATGCGTCTCTATTTGTCAATGCCAATGGAGGATTTAAAGAGAATAATCAATTTTCAATGCTGGCTTCTTAATAAAAAATTTGTCTGGAGGGCAGATTTACATAATTAGTCATGCCTGCAACAAACAAAAATAAATTGAGCATGCAAGTTCACGGCAGATACACAGCTGTTGAATCTGGATCATGGAGAATTATTTTATGCTTATTGTTAGGCTGTTTATTTCATGTTGGGTGTCTCTAAATGCTATTCTAAAATGCCTTTTTTAATGACTGAATTAACATAAAAAATGCCATAAGTCTGATGGGCGAATAAATATTTATAAACCACTCTCAATAGTGCTGCGTATATATTTTATATATATTTTCTGTCTCTTTGCAACACAGATTGCTGTTTTGATCACAGCGGGGAGCTCTGATGACCGGGTCGATCTTGGTGCCAAAGCAGTTGCAGACAGTGGGATAACACTCTTTGCAGTGGGTGAGTCTTAAACTAGGTATTGTGGATTCCTTCAACGTTTCCCCTGCAGCAACAAACTTTAGATTTTATTCAAGCTCTACCAGCCTATCAGATATGTCTTGCTGCCAGAGATTGATGTTCTGTACATTTGAATTCACTGATTCAGTGTGTGTTTGTGTTCATGTGTTAAGTTTCTTATTTGGGTCTATAGATGTGTGTACATATATGTACCTATATAAGAAACTTTATATAACTTTTAATGCATTTGTTGAACTATTATAATTGCATGATCTTAATATTTTACCTCTTTTACCTCTTGTACACTAACCGTCCACACAAACCTTCTTCTCTTAGTGACAGCGGTGCAGTAATTACTGATCATTAGAGGATAGTTTGTGCTAATAGCAGCTATTTTTCATTAGCAGATTCGGTTTGCCCCATCCGCACCTCTGACACAAGGGTCCTCTGCTCCTGCTCATCACCTCTATTGAAAACCTACATTATGCAGCCCTGTTGCCAATAATGCACGACTGAACCAGGATAAAAAAAAATAAAAATAAGAAATAAACAAATGCTGTCATTCTGAATCTTTGACATTTATTTTAGTGAATTACTTTTAGTTGATTTGCAGTTTATTTAATTTTTTTTGTATCGGTTGTTCTTCACATATACGCAGTGCAGTTATTTGTTGAAATGGGTGCTACAGAGTGTATAATTAGATCTGCGTGTTTAGAGTACTCCGGAATATAAGTTTCTGCATCATTTAATCATCTGACTTGACTTACTGCAAATGGTTTGTGTCAAAGTGCTGAAATAAAACCTGTGGTGTTTAATCAGTTATAAATATCTGTCTACATAAAAACTGTGATTCACTCTTCTTCCTATTTTTTTTAACTTTATTATGAAGGTGTACGAGGAGCTGATGTGTCGGAGCTGAGAAGGATTGTGTCCGAGCCCTTCGAGGAGCATCTTTTGCAATGTGCAGATTTCTATCTCCTGGAAACACTTCTTCCTAAACTGTCTCGGAGATTATGCATCAGTGCGTCTGAGCCACCACGACCCGTAAAAATCACCAAGCAAAGTAAGTTTCCCCCAACTCCTAGGAATTCTTTTACTTCTATCTAGATGTAGTGAGCTATAGGGGTACATGTATCAGTTTGGCCTGGGTACATCCTCTACATGACCACTAGGAAACTAGAAACCCAACTCCCTATTTCTTTCTTTCAATGTTTTTCCTTCAATTACTGATTTATTCTGTCATTTTATGATGATTAAGTCTCTGGAAGATGCAGTAAAAAGTAAAAATGAATGTCTCACAATTTTAATGTCTACCTTAAAGCTGGCATAATGTTTTACTTTAATTTGCTGATATTTATTGGCTTCTCATATCTTCATCTGATCTGTGTATTGTCACTAAACTGTAGGTGAAGAGAATGTGGTGGGTCCCAGAGACCTGCAGGTGAGCGAGTTAGCTCACAGCTCGCTCAGGCTTACATGGAGCCAAGCTACAGGTGATGTCACTGGATATCGCCTCCTGATCACACCTCTCAGCTCTAAGGGTCAACTCCTGCTGAATCAGCAGAGACAGGTGAGGGATGGATGCCTTTTACATAGAAGAGTGTAAACAACTTTACCAAATATGTTAACAGCTGTATGCATAGATACTTACGCCTCTAAATAGTTTTTTTCCCTTCATCCAAATCCAATGATTACTTCTATACATGGTTAAAATGGTCCTTAATTCCAAAACTCTTCCCCGGGTATTTTCTCTTATTTGTTTTTGCCCGCTGAGTCATGTAATTTTAAACTCCTTAAAGCCAGATGCTCATCACTTTATTTTTTTAGCTACCTTTGTGTAATCCTTTACAGGTTTCCTACAGTCTAGAACCTCCTGAGACTTGATTTCAATATTTTCTAAATAAATGTGATTTTTTTTTTTTTTTTTTTTTTTTTTTTTTTTTGGTTGCCTCCCAGAATTTCTTTCCTGTCCAGTATTATCCAAATGTTGTCTTTCTTTCTTGCTCCCTTCATTCCTTATAATGTTTTTTTTCCCCTCATAGACCATGGTGACAGAGCTTTGCTTTCTGTTTCTCTTTTTAACTCTAGGTTTCCTCCTATTTTTCTGTCTCGCTAATTACTTTTGGAAAGCTTGTGTTACTGAGTGATGCCTGCCAAAAGTTCCGGCAAATGATTTATCCTCGGGACCTGATACAACACTTTGTCCTCCATTTTTATGTAATTCTCTGTTCCTTTTACAAATAGTTTGGTCATTTCTTCTTTTTTCTATCCATCTCTTTGTCCTTATCTGGCTTCCTTCCTTCCTTCCTTCCTTCCTTCCTTCCTTCCAGAATATCTAAACTTACCCACTGTTTATTATTCTCCTTGTTAACAATACATTTATGTATTACTCATTTATCTGTTAATATACATCATAACTGTGTATCTATGAAAAAATAAAGTTCACTTTGCCAAATGAAAAATGTGTTTAGCAAAATTAGGCAGTAGCTTGGAAACCCTAAAATCACCTGCAGTTTAGAAAATTACTTTCATGATTCTCTAAAGAGGCATTACTCTAAAAGTTGCACTGACTTAATATTGTGTGCTTTCTTTTTCTTGGATGACTGACTAGATAATCGTATGGTTACGTGCTCTTACAGAAACATCATTATTTTAGCTATTCTTTACTAATTATCCCTGTTTATATAACAGCTGAATCTGAAGGCAGATGTGAGCTCCACCATGGTGACGGAGCTGAGTCCAAAGACAGAGTATTCTCTCACCCTCTATGCTATCTACCCAAACCTCATTGGCAACTCTGAAACAATCCCAGTGAAAACAGGTGAGATTTTTCATAACATACAGGGAATCTGGAAATACTCAAAGTGCTGCACTTTTTCCACATTTAGTGATTTTACAAGATTATTCCCAATGGTATTAAATCAATCTCTTTCCTTAAGAGCTGTACTAAAAATACCCTGTTATCTCAGTTTGAAAAAAACTTTATTGTTGCAAATTTAATGCATATTTAAAATTAAGAAATCACAAATATGCAGGTAGTTAAAGCGTTTCCCCTTAAAGATCCAAATTGAATTGAGGTTCATAACTTCCACTGATTATTCTTGAGATCTTTCTTCAACTTTATGTAATATTAGTAAATTGGACATAAAAGGCTAATCTGGAGTTTGCAAAAAGACACTCAGAAGAATAATAAGAGAAATACAATGTATTGATCTGATTGGACACATAACTAACTTTTCTAGTAGTAATGCCAGGCACAGTGTTTAGAGAAGAGCAGGTACCATTCATTGTCATGCCATCACAATTCCTACAGTGAAGCATGGTGTTGGCAGCATGCTACGGTTATGTCTTTTCCAGTAGTAGGAATGGGTAGACTGGCAAGGAGAGAGGAGACGGAGAATTATGAATGCAGTGATGTACAGAGACATCCTGGGTAAATAAAAATAGTCTTGGGCCCTTCAGACTGATAAGCAGATACTTTCTTCAACAGGACAACAATGAAAAGTACACAGCTTTAATCAGATTGATATTGCACAGATGTCCCATTCAAATAGATGAAGCATAAGAAGAACTGCAAAGAAGAAACCTTTTAAGATAGCTGGGCAAAGCTTATAGCAGCACATTTAAAAGGACTCTGCGCTTTTTAAAAAAAAATTATAACATTCATTTATTGGGCTGTAGCAAACTGTGGGACTAGAATATGTTCATAGGTGCCAAATCCATTCGATCTCCACTAAGTAACCTGTTGCAATAGGAAAAAGAACAAGAACATCATCTGTATGTTCCTTATAAATCACTAGAGACTAGACTTTGATGAAGCTCTTGCTAATAAATCTATACACATTTTTACATTAAATCTGTTTAAATTAACTATTTGTGATTTGCTCTAATATCCATATGAAATGGGTAGAGTGGTAGTTCTTTAATTACGTTGAAAACTACTAGATGTCCTGCAGAAATACATAACTTCCCTTCTCAGGCATAATGGACAAAAACTATTTCTGAGGAGCATGAATTCTGTGTTTCTCATCTTTACTGTTAGTTTGGTGATTTGAATAATTACCTACTGTATTTCTCTCATCAATGGATAATATACTAACAATCCAAAAGGCTAAATTAGGTTAGACATTCCTCCTAAGAGTATCAATGCTGCTGGTTAGAGGGGAACTGCTTGTTCAGTTGCTGCACAAGAACAACAAATCAGCTGTTAGGGGTGGTCAATGGTTGTAATACATACAGTAGCCCCCACCCGTGGCTGTAGCATGTGGAAAAAGTGCAGAGCTGGGGACACTTTAAATAAATGTATAGCTTTTATTATTATTATGTTATTTTTCAATACTACTTCCACGTCCTGCTTTTCTCTACCAAATGCTTTTCTTTCCTTTAGCTTCGTTGCCCAAAGTATCAAACTTCCGTGTTATCGAAGAAGGTCCCTTCTCTCTACGTCTTGGCTGGACACCTCCTCTGGGAAAGCTCAACGGGTTCAAGATCTTTATACCTAGGTGTAAGTTGACATCTGTCAAGATTATTGACTTTAAAGTTTGCATAGCAACAGTGCCTTGCCAAAGTATTTATGTCTTAAACATTTTAAGATTATTTCTCTTAAAGCACAAATTTGACAGCACTTTCTTTTCTGCTGTTGCAATGTTATATTGGTAGAAACATTACATTTTGTTCATATCTTAACAGGAAACCTGCTTGTCCATTGTAAAACAAACAATATGTCTTATGGTTTCATTTCATCAGTGGCTTTCCATTTTACACTCTTCAGTACAGCCATAGTCATTGTGTAAACCTATTCTCCATTTTGGCTTTTGATCTGTTCAGCTCCTCCAGATTTAGCAATGGGCCTTTTGGTTCCTTGAAATTAAAACTCTCTTTATATTTCTATGTTTGCCATTGTGCAATAGTCTACATTTTTGGTTAGTTTTTTTTGGAAGAAATTTTAAAGAAAGTTAAAAAAGGCTTTTGGAGTTTGAATACTTTTTGCAAGACACTGTGTGAAAGGTTTGTTTGAGTTAAAGACTCTTTTACATTTTCTTAAATACTCTTCAGCCAACAGACCAGGATTAACATACGAGCAGCTGCTTCCTGGGGACATCTCCTCTCATGTGATTGACAGCCTGGAGGAAGATAAAAAGTACACCATCAGCATCTATGCTGTTTATCCCGAGGGGCCAAGTGAACCAGTGTCCATAGTGGGAAAAACACGTAGGTTTACAAAATGAAATCACTTTGTCCAAACAATATTGACTGCTGTATTACCTTTTCATAATGAATATCTCCTCATCTTAAAAAATACTGAATATCTAAAGAGATTATATGGCATAGTCAGTTAATAGATTTATTACAAGACAAAAAGATCCCTGTGTAGTACCCCAATATTTCCACAGGAGGGGGGTGTTGTTCTAAAATCAACCTGTCAGGAATATACCTCATCATCTCCACAATATCTTAGCATCTTACACTATAGTAACACCTCTAACCATAGAGGGAAATGGATTAGAAGGTTTTGAATATATATTTTTTGCATAAGTTCTACTTGCTAAGTTTGGTTATGAAATAAAAAAAATGTTGCATCATTATTAATCTCAGCTACGTGATTAAAATGGAACAGCCTGCCCCTCGGTCTGCAGGTTCTCACAGATCTGCCCCATTTGAAACCCATATTAGACTAATTTTTTCAAACTGGCTTTTAATACTTAGAAAACACTGTTTTATATAAATATATTTTTTTTTTACAATGTTTTTATCTTTCTGTGAAGCACTTTGGTCTTCCTGGTGTTGTTTTAAAGTGCTACATAAATAAACTTTGACTAATAAAATGCTACATAACTTCATCCCTTGCTCTTGCAATGTCTCTAACAGTAAAAGTAGTACCAGTTAAGCAATTTTTGGTCCAGAATGCCACCACAGACACTGTGCAAGCAAGGTGGGCATCAGTCAAGGGAGCAACGGGATACCGTCTGACATGGGCGTCCACAGGTACTGTGCATATCTATGAATTTTTGTCTTTAGGAAGAGACGATGTACCGTTTGTTCAGTTTTTCTTCAACAAAAAAGTTTTTGTATCCTCATATGATCTGCTTTTCTCATTGTTCTGCAGATGGCCACATAGAGAACATCAACCTTGGAGATAACTTCAACTTCTACATGATTCAGGGCCTTCACTTAGGCTCTGAGTACACAGTCACAATTAACCCCATCTTTGGAGACATTGAAGGGCCAGTCACCACCAACAAAGTCAAAACATGTAAAACATTTATACCAGATATTAGATGTTACAGAACTTAGTTGAAGCATGAGTTGACCTGTTATTGCTTTCAGTCATCTTCTGGTTTGGTTTTTGAAACATTCCTCTGATTTTTTTCTGTTCACTTTAAGATCTAAGTGTCTTAGTTTGCTATATTACCATCTAAATGAGAGGAAAAATAACTAGAGTCAGTATCTATGTTTAAAACCAGATATTTACTGGATAAAAAGGAACTAATGTTTTTTTTTTACTGCTGTTGCAAATTGAAACAGATTTTTTTTCACTAATCAGACTGTTTTCGATTAAAGACCAAAATAACAGATTTCTTTAGCTGTCTTGATTTGAGAGTCGACTCTGACCCTAAGCCTTGTATAACAATAATTGTATATAACAAAATAATTTGGGAAGATGCAGCCACAGTGAAAAAAGTTTTAGCTGTTAGCTATAGATTGAAATGCTACTTGGCCTATAGAAATCCATTACTCTAAAAGCACTAATGATGAAACCAGTTAGATTGTTTTTCCACAGTAACAAGTACAACATCTACAACACTGACTCGGCCTCACCACTTAATACAAAAAGAGTTGACAAAAATATCCAACGTTTTTGGGAATCTTGTGAGGGAATATTGTGAACATTGGACCAAATTCTTATAGTTTTGCAGGTCATTGAACTAAATGCTAGATATTAAAAAATGTTGTGAAAAAACATCTCTCCTAATTCTGGTTTACAGAAAATATAACTATTTAAGTCAATCCTAACTGACCTAGAACAGGAAAAGTTGTCAGAAAGATGTTTTTGTAGAGTGTGTGCATCTATTTATTTACATATTTAATTACTCTTGACTTTTTAATATTTCTTTCTCTCTTTTTTTCTCTTTCTTTCAGTGGAAAGCAGTGCTGTTCAGACTTTAAAGGTCTCTGCTGTAAGCACCAATTCAGCTGTTGTATCTTGGAACAAAGTCCCAGGGGCCACAGGTTACAGGCTGGCATGGGGACCCACCCCAGGTACTATATATCTTTGTTTTAAAGGTTCCTCCTGTTTTCAGTTGTTTATCATACAACCATTATTCTTAGTCAGGCTATAAAGCACAAGGTTTATCATTTTCTAGCATCTCTTTTTTTAGAAGAGCTTTACAAAAGCCAATAATACTGAAGAACTGGAGCAATAAAAAGTATTAAGTCACCTACTGATTATGCAAATTATCTGGTGTCCTTTTAGATGTGTCTCTCTCCCTACACAAGCAGGGTCCAGGGGGCACAGTACCCTAGGTCTCATTCAGTCCCTCTTTGGCCTGTGGGCTGCTGCTCATGTTCTTCACTAACGACCTACCTCTGAGCGAGCCGTATGCCTGCCGTAGGGTGTAGTCTCTGTGGCCTTTCAGAGAATAATTGAAATGGTTAAGGTTAATAAAACACAGGGTACTAATCCAACAATACGGTCAGCCTACAACGATGCTTGAGGCAGTCTGGATTTAATATAGTGAGTCACACAATTAGGATTCCGTCTTGAGATATCCTGTTTGTTGGGCAAATCTGATGTGACACATGCAGACAACCAGCTTCTCTCCCTGAAAAAAATCATTCATACATCTTTTGCATTGACTCAAGCATATTTAGTTACTTTAACACAACTGTTTCATGTACCACACTGCTAAAATGAAACAATTGTGTTAAAGTAACTAAATATGTTTGAGTTGATGCAAAAGATGTATGAGGACACATAAATAAAAAAAGTAAAAGGGCCAATATTTATATCTACATGCATACTTAGGAAAATAAAGCTTGTCAGCAGCTAGTTGGGGAAAATTGACTATTGGGGAGAAAAGGGAATTACAGATGTCCATGGTGAAAGATATGAGGAAAGAAAGCTATACTGAAAGAAAAAACTAAAATATTGCTTTTATTGTTTATAGAGTTTATTGGCAGAGATCGTCCAAGGCAGTTGGCTTTGAACAGCAGCACTACAGAGTACAAGCTAAAGAACGTTGCCCATGATACAGAATACGTCTTGACACTATATGTGCTGTTTGGGTCTGCTGTTGGGCCTGGAATCTCTGCAACCTTCCGAACTTGTGAGTAATTAAGCATTTTATGAATCATATTGTAATTAACACCTGTAGGTGAAAGGAATTCAACACATGAATGTCACAAATCTGCTTTTATTGATTGCTTGGAAAAATGTAGTTTGCTTCTGAACTTTTGGAAAAAAGTGGAAGACTGGAGCTGATGGTTGGTGCAGGGGTAGAATGTATCACCCACTCACAGAAGCCTGAATCCTCGAGTCAGGCATCCCTGTTTCATTTCCTGATCTGGAGAAACCTTTGCTGCATGTCTCCCCATTTCTCCATCCATCTCATATCAGTTCACATGATTAAAAGGAAACTGGGACAAAATTAAAAGCATAAAAAAATTTAAGACTGTCAAAAGTATGTTCCAGCATTTTAACCTAGTGCAGCCCTCTATACCCAAGAAAAGCTTATTATTAACTCTGTTTTTATTATATCCTTTTTGTTTGTGTAAAGTGGTGACAGGAAACCATGTGTAAGGCAACCGCAATGCTGAAAGTTTTGCTATAGAATACTTGGAACAATGTTTGCCTAGTGTGATTGTGATCTTTTCTAGCTTTTATCTGATTTTTTGGATTATCACACCATGTACAACCAAATACTGTATGTTGTTAACCACAAAACAAACACTATCATCTAATTTTGAACTTTCTAAGATGAGATCACAGTGGTTTGAGGGAGCTTGGTTTAAAAGTTCAGAATGGTCAAGTCAAGATCTTCATGCCCGGTTGGGAATTCACTGTGCCTTTAAGACATTACAAACATAGCCCCTCAAGTCTATGCACACTTTGCCAGTTTGGGCTAATCTGACAATCCTAAAAAAGGCACATTTCCCCTTTTTTCTGTATAGTTAGCTAATAATAACAAACCTGATATTTCAATTGAGAAAAGAAGGCAAACTAACAAGACCCTAACAAGACAGCGTGTGACACATAAGGTAAAATTAAATAAATAATTTTAAAGATTTGTCAATGTTTTCTTTGTATATTCAGAATATCTAGGGATTTTTGTCACTCATGATGTTTCTAACACAGTTCAGCATGTGTTGAGATGCTTTTTGTCTTGATTTTATTCAAAAGATCTGACCCACATGCAGTAAACCAAACAGAGACACCAGGGAAAGATTTAACAGGTTTATTGTGAGTTGGTAAAGAGGAGTCCAGTGCTGCTCTGAACACTGTCGAACCAGAACTGAAAAGTGAGGGGGAAGATTCTGCGGTTAGTTCAGGCTCAGTGGGAAATTTGTGTCTTTGATTTGAAGAAGGGAATAAAGGCAACAGGACTCACTTTTCCAGAAAAAGGTGTCTTTCGTTGAATCCAGTCAGTGTAGGTTGTTCCAGTAATTGACTTGCTCGTTGGAGGGCGGACAGGGTTTACCCAGGTTGTGGAGTTTCCTTGAGGAATTGAGGAGCTGACTGCCACTTAGATTTCCTGCGGTACTTGAACGGTTTCTTGTGGAGATGAATCCCCTGCTCAGAGAGAAGCCCAAAAAATCCTTGGTGAAAAGTAGATCCAAACCACCAGCTTGAATTCTCTGCTCAGTTTGATGCTCACAGAATCCTTCAAGGGGGGAGAAGGTCCAAAACATCCAGTTTGCAGGATGACTTCCTGCCGAGAGGCAAAGACAAAAAAACAACAAGGTTAAGGCTCGGGTGACAAAACTCAGTTTGACTCAGTAAAACTCAGCTTGGCTAGAATACCCAAAACTGGCAAACACTCTGGAGTCGAGGTAGTGGCAGTCAGCAGCTTAAGAGTCCTCCAGTAATGAGGCAACCATCCGCAGGTGTGTGAGAAGGCCAACGAGAACCTGGTGCCCTCTGGTGGTGGAAAAAAACTAAAAACACAAGCACAACCCACACAAACTGGATTCCTAACACTTTTGTTCTTTCTTGTGTTTTGTCCCTTTTATGTTAGGTAACATTTCCAGTTTAGTGGTGTTTAGATTTTGGTTTTGTAAGGTTTCTTTGTGTTTAGTCTTGGCTGTTGAGTGTATTTCCTTAAATATGCAATTCAGTTCAGTGTTCACAACACATGTCATCTCAAGCCACTTTACATACAGTGAGACTGGTTCAAAGTTTTCTATCTAAGGAAAACCAGCTGTTTGCATTGACTCATTGACTCAAAAGCAATCCCTCAGACCAAGCATGCTTGTAGTGACAGTGAAGAGAAAAAAAATCCCATTTAACAGGAAGAAACCTCCAGCAGAACCAGGCTCAGTGTGAGTGGCCATCTGCCGAGGCCGACTGAGGTTCAAGGAGACAGAAGGAGACAGAAAAAGAAGCTGAGATAGAAAAGGCAACTGTCAACTACCTCCAAAGGTGGCCCCATCCAGGAAACACACAACCGGGAAGAAGAGCTCCGAGCAAGCTGCCATGTCGGAGGATAAAAGAGAGCACATACAGTTAGTCACAGTCAAAGAAAAATAACTACACTGAAAAACAGACCAAGCTCCAAAATCTATAAACAAAAGAGTTGATGGCAGCAGCACAGCTGATATTTCACTCCAGGATGGTGTGACAGCCAAACTGAAACAGACCAGATGAAGCTACAGTACGAAGATGAGAACAATCAGAGAGAACTATGAAATTCTTTAGAATGGGAGAGTAGAGAGAGAATGAAGCAGAATGATGAAAATAATGCCCTATGTCCTCCAGCAGTCTAGGCCTATAGCAGCATAACTATATAGATATTCAAGCTATTCCAACTATAAGCTTGATCAAAAAGGAATGTTTTAAGCATTGCCTTAAAATTAGACAGTTTCTGCCTCACAGACTAAAACTGGTAGTTTGTTCCGCAGGAGATTCTTTATGTGAATTAGACTTGCCTCCCTCCAATGGTACATATATGGCCTTTTTACTTTATTCCTACTCTGTTTCCAAGGTTCCTGGTTCCCTGGTTTGCTTATGTGTGTTCCAGCTTCTCTGTGGTTCAGTTGTTCTTAGTTTTAGGACTATTTGTCTCTGTTAATATATCTAACAAAAATCACAAATCCTAAAAAGGTTCTTGACATTTTCTAAAAAAAAAAAAAAAGATATAATACCTTAATGAGGTCCAATTAATTGCTGTATTAGTGAATGAAGATGCAAAATAAAAAAAACTAAAAATTATTATTTTAAAGATGCAATAAATAAATGAGCAGTAAATCTTAATGTTTGTATGATGTGCTAAAGGGTACTGCTTTTATTTCTTAGCTCCTTTAGGTTATGTGTCAAACTTTAAGGTGACGTCGTATACAAGTACCTCTATAGCAGTAGAGTGGAGTCCCATTGTTGGAGCAACAGAGTACAAACTTTCCTGGTACACAGGTAAGTCATTTAACCCAGTCCTTTGTTTAACTATTAGTACTCAATAATTTGTATGGTATATTCATATACCTCATGCTGTTTTATACTTCAAGATGATAGCAAACCACAGTTCCAGTATTTGGACCGAAGTGTCCTGTCGCACCAGATTAAGGATCTCAACCCACAGACCATCTACACCATTACCATCTGTGCAGTTTATGGAAACTCAGAAGGACCAGAGATCTCTTTGTCTCAACTAACAGGTTAGAATATTCACTGCAAGAAAACCATGATCAGTTGGTCCAGATATTAGATGCCAACTGTCGCTCATGTAAATGCTCAACATTATGCCAAGTTTCTTTGGATAGATATTTTTTCCCTTAATGGCAGTTTTGAAAACTTTTTATAAACTATCTTATTAGGTACTCTTTAATGTTATATTTTATTTTAAAATATGAATGTATGTTTTTCTATTAGCTGCAGTGTCACAGACGGAGCCAATCCAGCCAGTTAGGGAGTTGAAAGTTGTGGACATTGGACTTAATTCCTTCACCCTGTCTTGGAAGAAAACACCAGGAGTTTCAGGATACAAAGTTTCCTGGATTCCCTTTCTTGGTAAGGGACTGCTTAAAAAAAATTAACATGATATACTCTACAAATTAGTATAGTCACCCAATTGCACAACATGAAATCAACATTCTTTTTGTGTTTGAGTTCTTTTTCTGGTCTCTCGTGTCTCATCATGTTAGTGTTTCAACCTGGTAACTCCTCATAGCAGTGTTGTTTAAAACTTTTATCTCCCATACATGCTGAATTCTAATTATTTTCTATACTAGGGGGTAAAGAAGAGTCCCAAGTGGTACCTGCTGCTTCCACTACCTTCACCATGGGCAACCTTCAGGAGAGCTCGGCATATAAGATCCAGGTTTCCCCTGTAGTTGGTAGCAGAGAAGGTAGTCCGGTTCTGGTAACTGCACGAACTTGTGAGTCTTTTATTCCATTTACATTTAGCAGACATTTATTACTATTCTGCATGCAATTGTGCAGATTTTAAAGCTAGAGGAAATTGTGTCAGGAGGGAAAGGGAGAATAAAATAAATAAGACAATCACTAATATTTGGAAATCAATTAGCTTTACATATTTTATCTTAATTAGTTTTGTATACATCTCCTTTAGTGGATCTTCCAAAAGTGGAGGGATTTTCTGCTCTAAACACGACTGAGAGCAGCACAGTTCTGAACTGGACCCGTGTAGCAGGAGTCTCTGGCTATCTTCTCTCTTGGAGGCATATTTCAGGTCAGTGTTGTTACAGAAAAACTGTACTTTTGGATTATTTTAGCATGTCTGGTAAATGTCAGTCAACCCAAGTTAGTCAAGACTCCGAAAGGCCAAGTTAGTCAAGTCAAGTTATTTCAATATGAGAGATGATTATTCCTCACCAGTTCTTTTATTGAATGTACTCTGTGTGTTTTAATATAAGAAACATAAGAAAAACATACAAAAAAAAATTGGAGATAAAAAAAAAAAATTGGATTGGCAGAGCAGCATATAACAACATACTGCTCAGTTCTTGTGGAATAAAATCGCACATTTCTTTTTTACAGTGTTGGAGACAAAAACCGAAACTCTGGGTCCTGCCTTTTCATCCTATAAGATCAGTGACCTGCAGTATGGCAGAACATACATTTTCTCCATCAGGCCTTTGTATGGAGAAGTGGAGGGACCTATAAGCACCGTGTATCAGAGAATACGTAAGAATCTGCACTAACACTTGCATCAAGTATCTATGAACTTCTGTGTTTGATTAGACAATCGATTGTATGTTAATATTCAGTATTTGTAGACAGATTTTTCCAATGGATCAAAGGATAAAATCAGTGCTTCGTAGTAACTAGTTACATTTACTCGGTTAGTAATTTTCAGAAGTAGTTTAACAGCATTTTACTTTTAATTGAGTAAAAATATTTTAGAGTATCACTACGTTTAGTCGAGTAACATTTCTAGCTACTCCGTCCAAGTAGCTTCACTTAGTGGAGAAAAAGCTTGTTTTAAACAAATATGCATCACTGAGAGGCACTTTTTTGGGTACCCAAAGCCTATTGGTTAAACGTTAATTTCTACCTGCTGAGTCTACCTTACTATTCGGATTTTAGATGATAATACAGTAAAAACTGTTCTGTTATTTAACCTATATAAATACTTTAAGTATTGATTAAGTTTTATTACTCAAAACAATTTAAATATGTTGTTATGATCATGGGTACTCCCTATACCAACTACTTTTTTACTCTTTCTTGAGTTTTTAAGGGCTACTTTTTACTTTTACTTGATTTAAAATATGATGAAGTTGTGCTTCTTTTACTTTTTGAGTACTCTACCCACCTCTGGATAAAATAGATACAAAAAATAATAAATGTTGCTGTTGCTTAACACAGTGATATTATATATTTAAACAAACAAAAAAAGTACTATGATTATTGATATTCTGAATATGATTATTTTAATAAAAAAAAAAAATCTAATCAAACTGACTCTGGTGGGTATTTGTCATTTGTTCCCTGATTTGTTCCCTGGTCTGGGTTGAAAGTTTTGTGCCCTGATAATGGATCTCACAATTAATATAAAGAGATGCTAAAATTGTAGAAAACACTGTCTGAGTGTCTGCAATCCAACTGTAATGTAAACTTGAGTATTTATGGCACAGTTAAAAATAGTACCATAATTTAATGTCAATATTTTCAGCCCCAATGAGACGTTTACTTACTCTTAAAATGAGCTCTTAGTCTTTGTCCACTGTGTAAGAAAATTGTGTAAAAAAAGAATAATTCAGAACTTTAATATTTGGATGAATGCTATACACTTGTTTAAAATAAGAGCAAAGGTGAAAGGATGTGAGCCTGTGGGCAGCCAGTGCTTATGATGAGCTCTCCAGACTGAAAGTCTTTATGCTGACCCTCTGAGGGCAGATGGAGAAAAAATCTCTGATCCAGAACATCAAGACTTCATCAATATTTTAATCCGCCAGCCTTTTCAGAAGATTTGCATTTTCATAGAATTAAAAGCTAAAACCAGTAATAGCAATAAGCATATGCTTCAACAAGCGAAATATTTTTTGAGACCATGTCAAGCAATATAAATTCAGTATCATCAGTACCTTTTTCCCTCTTGTTAAAGATAAGCTCTGTGTGTGCACCTGGAAGCTCTATCTCTCCGGTTCTTTTTCCTGAAAAGAGATCACTCGGGACTCTTTTAATAACATTTCATTAGTTATATATTCATTACTTATATATATATTAAATAACATGACAACAGATTATGATATAAATTGTAATCCTACTCAGATCAGAGAAGTTGCTTAGAGTTTACAGAAGGTAGCTGCTCACCTCTGGGCTCCCCTCTCAGGAAGTGGCCCTGATTAACAGTTAAAGAAGCATTTTATACATCTCCTGTCTGCCACATCATCATATTTTACATCATACACATTTGCAGATGAGTAGACATCCACGGCTTCAGCCTTGTTAAAATATTACTCTTTGTTGTTAGCTGAAGGACACCACTCTCATTCCATTCCCAAATATTTGCCGCATACGGAATGAGGATTATAACTGTATATAGCCGGACCGAGGAACTGTCCTAATTAGATAAACTAGTGGGGAAAAAATCAGTTCTGACACGCAACAGGCAGCTAATATTAAGGTGCAATAAACTCACACATCATCAATGATAATTATCCTAACATTCAAACTGTAAAGGGTACAGTTCCATGGCCACAGTGGTGGTCAAGAGATCAACCAGGACTCTCTCCATGCAATAGTTTCACACAGAATGGAGATTAGAGCAATGGGCCTGAAATCTTCAGGTTTGCTTGCCCCTGTTTTTATTGGTATTGACCTTATTGTGGAGAATTTGGAAACACATTGGGATGCCTGTGTTGAGTAGGGAATCAAACAATTTTGTAAAAACTCCATGTAGTGAAGGGGCCGAGTCTTTGAGTGGGCGGGCCTTGAGGCCATCTGGGCCAGTGGCCTTGTTTGACTCAAGTTTAGAAAGACATCCTCTGTGATATCTGTGGGTGCTCCTGTCAGGACATTTTTGCCAATTTCCTCACATTGCTGTGTATCTTCCTCTATAGTGAATCTGCAGAAATATTGCTCCAAATCCTATACAAAGCATTGATCAATGCATGGTAGAGGATCAAATTTGTTGTTGCTTTTGCCCATTAGTGTATTCAGACCCGTCCCAAGTTTGTTTTAAGTTGCAGCTAAAATATTTGCTTTCCACTTTGTTTTTATCCTCAATATTTGCCATTAGTATGTCCCCTCTCAAATGTCTCATTTTTTCCTGCATTAATCGCACATCACCAAAGCAGAAGGCAACTGTCCTCTCATTAAGAATTAATTGCTTAGCGACCCAAGGTTTGATATTTGGGAATATTTTTACAGTTTTAATTTCTAACACTGTTCTGAAAGAAGCTAATGTAGGATGTGATGGTTTCAGTTGTTCCATCTCCACCCTCCACCCAAAGAAAATGTCCCAGTTTATTGGATTAAAACAATCTTGAATTTGCTCTTTAGTTTTATCAGACCATATATGGATTTGCTCCCAAACTGAGTTTAGTCTTATTTTCTGAAAAAGTAACAAAAGAATATGTATGTCAACACACTCTAAAATACATTAAGAACAATAAGATGCACTTCATATAGTGTAGATAGAGAGAAGATGTAAAAGATATTAGACAGCATGTTGCACACAGTGGTGTCAGTCTCCATAACCTTAATAGCCCTCTAGAAATTTGCTTGTGTCATTACGTCTCTTCTCAGGCTTTCAGGCTTTTAACAGATAAAGAGTGAAAAAGAAGTGCAAATAATCCATTTTAGAGTCTGACTCTTTTCACTGCCATCCTGGGACTAATTTACTTTTCAGTACTGCACCATCCCCCCCAAAGAGCTGCAAACAGACCTAGGTCTCCTGTTCAGTTTTCACAAGCTTTTGTCTCCATTTAACGTTAGTTGTTTTATCACCACTTTATAAAGTCACAGCAGTAAAATGACCAACACATGAGCAAACATAATAATAAGATAATAAACATAATGAAGAGGATGTAAATAAGGTACATTCAAACATTGTGATGGCGTAACAAATAATTTGATTTAGAAATTTAATTATAACGACACGCTTCCTAATCCAGTCTAGCTTTCATAATAGGATTATTTTCTCTCCATTCATTGCTTGGAGTGTATTTGGTTTTGTTTTTTTCCTCGTATCAACCAATCACAGCTCTTAGAAAACGTCTCTCCTCCAAGCAACAGGGATCATACTTCCTTACTCTGAGATTCTTTATGTTGTAAGTTGACTTGAAAGCAGTTGTACATGGAAGAAACAACAACAACAAAAATCTTACAGCAAAAAACGCAAAGAGAGACAAACATTCCTTACACCTCTGTCAGACACTGACACAAAGTCATAACAGCCAAAGGGGATAACACTAGCTCTTAGGCGGTAGGATGTTTGCATTTAGAAAGCAAAGCCATTTGTATTGTTGGTAGTTAAACAAGTTTAGCAAGGTAGTTTTTAAGTGATATTAAATTGCTTTCTCCCAAGAGACAACTCAAATAATTGATATTGATATGTTAACTTTTTGTAAAGAACTGCATATTTAATTTTGAATGTGAAGTCTTAATTTAAATTTTGATCTAATTAAATCTTACCCAATATCATTTTCAGTTTCATTCATCTTTTTCGTCTTAATGGTATCTTAGACTATGTAATTAAGCAAGTTTTTAAGCTGAGTACTTTTTAACTAAAATTGTGCATCTTTATATTTTTTAGTGGGGCGGGATGATGTTGTGAAACCAGACCAGTCTGTTCCAGCCACTGTGGCTCCTAACTCCCCTCCCATCACTGCTGACCCCCCAACTGCCTCCACCATTACTCAACCAGCCACCAGAGTCCCTGACCCCCCCACAGCTCCACCGCCAACTAAATCCATAACTAAAAAGCCACTGATTGAACCCAGCATCACTGAAGCCAAGAAGGTCACAGTCACAACCATGAAACTGAGCACAGCTGCCACAAAACTAACAGCTCCACCACAGCCAGGTATATTTACAGATGCTTCTTTTAGATGGTTTAATGTTTACATTTCTATGTGTTAGGCATGTCTTTTCTGTTTCATCAGTGTGTGGGAAGACCAAAGCAGACATAGTGTTTTTGGTGGATGAGTCCTCAAGCATTGGAGTTAATAACTTTGCCAAGATGAAAGACTTCATGTTTCGAGTGGCTACTTACTTCCCTGTTATCGGCTCGCATGGCACACAGGTCTGTTTCTCAGAGAAAACATTCTGTCTTTCGCTGACTTTGATGAGATGCTGAAAATGTAGTCTGAGAAGTTTCATCGCTCTAACTGTAAAGATTTTTTTGGGGGATATTTAAAAAATTTTTGGCATTTTTTTTCATCATGCTGGTAATATTTTGCAAGACTTTTCTCTCGATCTTTGATAAATAACTGTAGCATGATGTTGTGTTCTTTTAACAACTAGACATCTTTCAAAAAACTGACATAATAAAAGTATGCAATTTCTTTTTAATCACAGAAAAGAACAACTTTTATACCAAATATAAATCCCATGATCATCCATATTATATTATATTATTCTTATTACATAAGGTAACAAAGCAAATATATTTATGATGTGCTCTTTTCCCCTGTTGTTTTCCCTTCAGATAGCTGTGGTTCACTACAGCGATGAGCCCCGCGTTGAATTCAATTTAAGTGACTTCAAAGACAGAAACTCTTTGCTCAGGGCTATCAGAGGGCTGCGTTACACAGGTGGCAACACCAAAACAGGTTAGCTGAACACACTCAAAGGCGAACTGTGTTTTTTTTCCTCTACTGGGAGGTATTTCTTTTAAAAGTGCTTCATTTAAGCTTAAATGTAACGGCTTAAAACATTTTCTAATGTAGAGAATCAGCATCACCTTATACTGTTATGATGTGGATGTATCTTAAATTTGCTTACACAGTTAGATGGTTTAAATGCATTTTATTTGATTTAAAGATAAACTTGGTAAACATCGGAGGTTATTTCAAAAAGATGTTTTTGTCTTCAGGGAAAGGCATCAGCTATGTCCTACAGGAATTGTTCAAGGAGTCTTTGGGAATGAGGCACGACGTGGCCCATGTTCTGGTTCTGATCACAGATGGCAGGGCCCAGGATGATGTGATGCCACCTTCCAGGATTGCCCGGGCTTTAGGTGAGTTCAGTAACTAATGTAATCCCAGCAAGAATAAAATGATACAGAATCATTTCAAAGATGTTGTGGTAAAATATCCTGCAAGCACGAAAACCCACTGCAAATACATAAATGATGCTTGCATACAAACACAGAAAACACATGCAAAGGAAAAATTGTGCAAGAAGCGAAAACAATAACTCCCCTTGTGCTCCAGACCACATGGGGGAACAGGTACAGGTTTTATGTTTGTGGCATGTTTTAAATTTGCATCTCGCTATTTTCAATTTTCTTGAAAAAAAATGTATGCTTGCTAGTCTCATTTAAATTTTTGCAAGACTTTTTCAATTTGCTGTGAATTCCTGCATTTGCACAGTGTGTGCACCCATCGGCCATCGTATGAGACTAACTAAACTACTTAGACAAAAAAATCTCTTAACCCTTTGTAAAAAGAAGGTACTTCTTTTGTAATAAACATTTGCTGAAAATGTTGTCTTTAGCTAAATAATTCAATTTCTATCCTTAGCTTTCAGAAAGACAAGACAAAGAGTGACACATTTCACCTTTAATGACATTCTCATTAAAAAGTTTAGGAATCAATTAGATTTATATATTTTTTTATGAATCATTTATAATCCAAATTAGTGCCTTAATGTAAAGTTGACGAATTTCAGAAATATATGTACATATGCATTCAGGGCAATAAACTTAATATTTAAGGGGCCTGATTATTTTTAGGAATGTTTTTACCAGTTTTGTACGTCAAGATTTTGCCAAGTAGCTCAGATTCTGACACATTATATTAAAGACATCAGTGACATCCAATTCTTTACACAAAGCAACTTTAGGTCTGGTTTTTCTTTGATCTGATTTAGAGCTGACTGAGGTCCTTGTCCTGTTGGAACTTGAACCACCTCCTCAAACGTAAACTTTCCAAAGGTTTCTTTAAGGATAACCCTGTAGTTAGTCCAATCCACCTTCCCACCAACTGTGATAAGCTTTGCGCTGCTACAGAAAAACATCCCCACAACACAATGTTTCCACCTCAGTGTTTCCCAGCAGGGATGTTCAAGGTGATATGCAGTATTTATGTTTTGGCAGAAATGTTGCTTCATTTAAAATAGTGTATGTTGTAGCACAATTCTGCTGTTATTTCCTTCTCCCAATTCATCCACAATTCCAGATTTTCAGCATTTATTAACTCTATTTAATGCATATTAAGGGTGACTAATTATGCAAGATCTTACATTTCTGGATGAATGAACAATGCTGTGTGAGCTACTAAATGGTTTTTATATTGCTTGTTTTTACAAAATTGCTTCTCAAAACCTTATTCCTAAAATGTCTTTAAATTTCCTTGGTCTTCAGGACTTTTCATTATTTCTTAACAAACCTCCAAAGCCTTCACAAAACAGCTCGGCTATGTCTTTCCAATTGAAATGAGATGAATTTAAGAATTCATCAACTGAGTAAATCCATAACCTACTTTAAGGTTCTCTTATGCCTTAATTTTTTTATTGCAATGTCTATGATCTAATTATGTGGTATTTTGTTTTTATCTGTTACAAAGTACTAATGAATATATTGAGGATTTTTACTATGAGGTGACATTTAAAAAGTTTTGGTTGTTAAAAAACTTGCATTGAGAAGGTTTCACTTCAAACGAATAAAAAAAGAAAAAATTCCTTACCAACAAGTGTCATAGTTTTTTTAAATGCCAGTGTGAAGAAAACATATTACCTTATTTTTTTTTTTAAATTTACATTACATAAGGAGGGCAAAAACAAGACTTGTCTTGATATGTTTTTTTTAAACCTTTTATTTTAATTTAATGCATCAAGCAATCAAGTCATGTTTAACTTGCTTAGTTGTTGTAGGTACATTTTATGTTACCTGATGTTTTGATCCATTTCTCCATAGGGGTTAGCATTTTAGCAGTTGGAGTTTCGAATGCAGACATCGAGGAGCTCAACAAAATTGCAGCTCCCAGCAGTTATACAAATATCTTTTACTCGCCCACCTTTGATGACTTCCCCTCCATAGAGAGAGAATTTATCCAGAGCATCTGCAGCGAAGAGCTTCTTTCTGAATTCAAACTAGAGGATGAGGTAAGAAAAGGAAAAAATGCCTCAATAACTCTATTCTTACTGTTAGTGCATAGTGCGCTTTGTAGAATGAGTTTATATTCCCAGACAAAACAAGCAAAGCAGGCTTAAGCCTGCAATTGCAAGTAAAACAAAATACTTTTCCTCTTATGGTTTTGATTCAATGTAATTTTATGCAGAACTCTTTTAGTGCCCACAAGAATGTGCTTTTTCAATTAGTGTAAAGAATAGATTTATTCATCTAGAAGAAGAAACATTCAGTTCATCTTCAAATTCTTAAACAATAGCTCTGCAGGAGCAAGCGCGTCACTGTTTCTTGACTTCATTTTGACGTCAGCGCAGTGGATAGAGAAGATGAATGCAGAAGGGAAACCAATGTCAATAAAGATTGTCCCCAGTGGCATCAGGTTATCATTGTGCTCTTTCCTGTCTTTTCATGCCCAGTTTGCTCAGTTGGATACACCGACCGAAGACCCAGAGGAGCTGAATAAGCCTTTAGATCCCTGCTCCTCACAGTGTGTCAAGGTGTGTACACCTAAACAAATGCAATAATTAAACAATATAACATATCTGTTGAGTTTAAAGCTGATAATCATCTTAATATTATGCTTCAACAGGGCCAGAAAGGGGAAAAGGTGACCTATCTGACACTTGGTTTACATTTTGTAAAATGTTTATAGGTGTTTTTATCTAACTTACATCTATTTTAGGGAGATGGTTTTGGTCTTGGAGGTCTGGTATGATTGACATTTTTATTTGATAGATTTCAGTTAATTAATTTCTGCTCACTTATTTCATCATGTAACTTTTAAAACTGTACTTTTGTTTTTGCAGAGATTCAGGCAAAGTCCTGGACAGTTTGATCCTTTCATATCATCCAAAGGAGAAAGAGGAGAGAAAGTAAGAACAAACACACCTACACATCCATGCATTTGAAAATCTCTGCTACACTGAATGTCTGCAGGCAGCATATTGTAAATTCCATACTTCTGATCCTAATATACAAGCAATCTTTAAATTGCTGGAGCACATCAAATGATACAGTGCCCTCCTCAATTATTGATGCCCCCGTTTAAGATGTTGTCTTTTGCTTCTAAAAATTCTCCTGTTTTTTAAACAACATAGAACCAAAATATAAAAAGGAGAAAAATTCAACCTTTTATTTAAATATATTACTCTGGTGGCAACAATAAAATAGCACACTTTAGAAAAAAAAAAGGTGACAGCATGTGCCCCACAATTATTGACACCCCCAGCAATTCTGCCAAAAATTTTTATTGATTTCCTTTAACTGTGTTTTTTTCTGTAGTTGCTAAAGTTCGTCAAGGTATCTAGGAACTTTTAATTATTAATTCATGACTTCCTGTTTCCCTGGGGTATAAATATGACATGAGACACTTTCCTAATTCTCTAACCCATGGCAAAGACACAAGGGCACATTATTCAAGTAAGGCAGATGTGATTTGGCCCTCATAAGTCAGGCAATGGCTACAGGAAAATAGCCAATCCCCTCAACTTGCCCGTATCTACAGTCAGAGAAATCATTAAGAAGTTTAAAACCACTGGAATAGTAACAAACAAGGCTGGAAGAGTTCCAGATAAACTTGCCACAATGCACAGTAAGGAGGATGGTAGGAGAAGTGAAAACAAGTCCTAAGCTCACTGTCACAGAATTGCATCAAAGAGTTGAATCTTGGGGTCACAAAAATCCAAAACAACCATCAGACGCTCTCCACATACCGACACGCTGTTTGGGAGGCATGCAAGGAAAAAGCCTTTTCTCAGGGAACATTCACAAATGTAAATGTCTGGAATTTGCAAAGCAGCACTGGCACCTTAACTGGGATCGTTTGCTTTTTGTAACAAACAGTCAAAGTGGGTCTGGCATAAAACAGAGGGCGAGAATGCTGAAAAGCACCTCACTGTGAAGTATGGTGGAGGAACTGTGATGATGTGGGCCTTTTTCTCTTCCAAAGGCCCTGGAAACCTTATTAGGGTGCATGGCATTATGAACGCTTTTAAATACCAGGACATTCTATATAAAAAAACATGATGGTCTGTGCCAGAAAGCTGAAGATGGGTCATCATTGGGTCTTTCAGCAGTATAATGATCCAAAACATGTGGCAAATCTACACAAAAATGGTTGAGCAGTCACAAACTCAAGGTCCTCCCATGGCCAACTCAATCCCCAGACCTCAACCCAATCCAAATAACTGTGTGGTGAGCTAAAGTGAGGACCCAGGACACTGGATGATCTAGAAAGATTGTGTGAAGAAGAATAGTCAAAGATCCCTGGCTCTGTGTTCTTCAATCTTGTGAAAGGTTATAGGAGGAGAGTAAGCACTGTCTTGTTGGCAAAAGGGGGTTGCACAAAGAGTAACATCAGGGGTGCCAATAATTGTGGGACACAGGATTTAGCTTTTTTTCTAAATGTGTGATTTTAATTTTAACACCAAAGTAATGTACTAGAATAAAAGGTTGGATTTTGTTTTTTTTAAAAAAGGAGAATTTTTAGAACTCATCGACCACATCTTAAATAGGGGTGCGAATAATTGTGGAGGGCACAGTATGCGTACATTTAAAAAACAAACAAACTATTATTTGGGGTTGAGGACAATTTGCCTTTGTATATGTGGCACTTAATTATTCCCCTTCACAAACTGGGAGTAAGAATTCTTACATGTAACAAAACATTCATTAACATTGAAAATTAACCAACTTCTAAGCTGCTCTGAGTATTTGATGTTGAGCATATTAGGTGTTAATTCACCTAAAATATTACAATTATTACAGTTCTTAGTATGTTAAGGGAATGTGGCCTTGGTTTAAAAATGTAAGTTCTTTATTTATAGGGCTCTCCTGGAACAGATGGTATCCCTGGGTTACCAGGGCGACCGGGAAGGACTGGACCACCTGGTTCTGCTGGTCAGCGGGTAACTAAGTTCAGAAATATTTTGGAAAAAAGTATATATAGCATGTATAATGTTTATAGGAGTAACTACAATGAAAATAAAGTTATTATATTTTTTTTGGCTTCTTTTTCAGGGCCTTCCAGGTGTCCCAGGGGATATGGTGAGATTGATCAAACTTTTGAAACATATCTATACTAATATTTTGAACTCAAATTAGTTTAATTATTTTACTGAAATCGTCTTTCATCTGGATGCCACAAAAAATTTAACAACTGTATGTCTTTTGTCACTAATACCATGTGTTGTTAACAAAAATGCTGTCAAGGAATTTTTTTTGGTTAAGCAATATATAACATAATGGCACACAATAGACAAATCTAAAAGAGATATGCATTTAGAACTGGTGTATGATCAATGATCAAATTCCTTTTTTTAATGACAAATTATCAGTAGGGTTCCGTATTCAACCTAAATTCTCGATGCTTTTTAGATTTTCTTTTTTTGTATTTACAAGTCAAACATGGAGGTTACTAGTTTTTGTCAAACAGCAGAATGTTTCTGACAGCCTTAACAAACAGCAAGATATAGTTACTTGTTTTTGATGGAAGTAAACCCAGATTGATGATGTATAGAACCAAACAAGAGAGCTACATATGTTGATGTAACTGCAAAATGCAATGTGTGCTGGAAAGCAAATCCTCTACATTCCCTTAGACACAGTCTCAATGTCAAACATGGTGGTCGGAGCTTTCTTTGGTGATATCCACCTTTAGCAGAAACATGAAAGACTTTCAATTTGATTTTAAGATGAGGCTATAGTTAAGGCAAGGCAAGTTTATTTTTATAGCACAATTCAGTACTAAGACAGCTCAAAGTGCTTTGCATGACTTAAACATAAAAAAGCATGATAAAAGCAGGTAGTAAAGCAAATAAAACTGTTTTACTAAAACTTTGTTAGACTAATGATACCTCAGTTAGTTTAACTTCAACAAAGGCAGTTCTACACAAATGGTTTTTGAACTGTTTTATACAGTCTTCTGGACTTTTGTTCCAGATAAGTGGAGCACAGGAACTAAATCCTGCTTCTCCATATTCGGTTCTAGTTCGTGGTGAACAGAGTAGGCTTGAACTAGAAGACCTAGTGGGTGGTCTGGGAGGTTGATACACTGACAACAAATCTGTTACATATTGAGATGCTGGAGAATCCAGTGATTTATGGACTAACAGAAGAATTTTAAATTCTATTCTCCGAGCTACTGAGAGTCAGTGTAAATGCTTTAGAACCAGGTTGATATGCTCTACTTTCTTAGTTCTAGTGAGGACGCTTTTGTTAATTTGGAGAAAATGATGGCCTGTGAGATATTGATCTGTTTTATGATTCTAGCTAATGATCTGATGGGGTAATTGTCAGGTGGTGACATTATAAAGTAAAGCTGCTTGTCGTCTGCATAGTAAGGGTTAGTGATCTTCTATAATTTGAGCTAAGGGGAACCTGTAGATATTGAATAGGAGGGGGCCCAGAATAGAATCTTAATGAACCCTGTAGTGTAATCCTGAGAAATAATCTCTTCAAGATTATAAAACATTTGAGGATGGGATGGATTTTCACTCTCAAGGACAACAACCATAAACATATGTCTAAAATGATAGTTTTAATAGTTTTTATTGAGATGGATTCATCTGTTGGAAAGAAAGAATAACCAGTCCAACCGAAATCCAAATGAGGATCTGTAGGGATACCTGAAAGTTGAAGTGCAGAAATACTTCAGAAAACAGTAGTATCTCTGTGGTTGTAGTTAATGGTGCTTTCACATAGTATTCATTGACGGGACAATATATCTACACACTCTTCAGACTTTAATTTACAAAGGTGTTGAAAAAATTTATTGCTTTTATGGTCAATCTGGATCAGATAATGTAGGTTTAAAGAAATTCTTAAGGTTGCAAAAGCCTAAATGTATTTGCTTTAGATCTCCAGTATATTAATACTTTTTTAACATGTCAAATTACAGTTTAGCTGAGCATTATAATCGCATCACAGTGTTTTACCTGTGTTCATGGCAGGGTCCTCCTGGCCTCCCTGGCTCAAAGGGACAGAGGGGAGAGAGAGTAAGTCCCGTCTTGAAAACATTTTCATGATTTGGTTTGCTACATTTGACTTCTTGGATTAAGGCCATAAGAGCAGTTGCAGCTAAATGATACATATTAAAGTTATTTAATGTAGAAAATTCTTCTTTACTTTTGTTCCATTAAAGGGAGAGCCTGGTTATGTTATAGCTGGAACAGATTCAAATTATGTACCTGGAAGAAAAGGAGAACCCGGATCTTCGGTGAGTTGCAAAGAAAGTTGATTTTGTTTTTTAAATGGGGGGGATGGTGAGCAGTTCAAACCAATATAATTGAATTCTTTTTAGGGCCCGCAGGGACCACCTGGGGTACCAGGAGCAAATGGATCCCCTGGCCTCCCCGGCCAACCAGGCCCACCAGGATCACCAGGAATATCTGTGAAAGTACATATTTATTATTTCTATTTTGCATAATAAACAGCCTTTTTAGGAAAACTACAGATGTTTTGATGCTAAGCTGCTTTTAATTGTGTGCTTTGAAGGGAGATCCTGGAGTGCCGGGAGCCAAAGTAAGCATGAAGCCTGTCTTGTGTTTCCTTGTTTCAAATAGCTTGCTGGTGCTTTTACTTTAATTTCACTTTGCTGGTTTTGTTAGATGATATGCTGGCCTTCTTTTTATATGAGATCACATTGTCATTAATTTTTGAAAGGGTTTGCGGGGGAAGCAAGGCATTAAAGGAGACAAAGGAGAGCCGGGAATAGATGTAAGCTCATAATTGTTAAGGTTTTTTAGTGGAAAAAGATATTGTCCAGAATATTTACATTTTAGATAAAGAAAATTTCCATACTCTGGTTTTTAAGAGTGTTTTCTTTTTGATATCACCTTTGCAAACTACCTCAGGGTATTGCAGGTCTTCCTGGTCCCATTGGTATAGATGGCGTACCAGGATTACAAGGTCAGAAAGGAGAAAAGGTAAAAGTAGCAATTACAGCTTTTATACTTGTCAATGTCTAAATCTAAGACTTACAGATTAAATATATTATGGAAATATCTTCTTCAGGGTGAAGATGGACTTGGTATACAAGGAGTTCAAGGTCCTCCAGGAGAGAAAGGAGAGAAGGTCAGTAGAACTTTGAGCTTTGTGGTAGATTCGGCAATAGAGAACAGTGGAATATTGGTTTTAAAAGCTTTTGAGATTATTAGATTAGTCAGAAAACCTGTTTTGATAAATTTGATCAAATAACAGAAGTAATATTAAAGGTTCTAAAGGATTTTTGTTTATTTTACAGGGAAATATGGGCCTTACAGGAACAGATGGAACAAAGGTACAAAACATGGTTGTACAGAATGCTAAAATATTATACATTTTATAGCCATTTCAATGCAAAATAATGTTTGAATATAATTTGATCTTTAAGGGTGACCGTGGAGACCAAGGCATCCCAGGACTAGGTGGACCCCGGGTTTGTAGTTACTTTCTATCTTCAGCTGATTTCATGCAACAATGTTTACTTGTTTTACCCTGCAGGGTATAAGAATTAAATGTACCTGAAATATTCTCTCTGAGTGACTCATTTTCACTCACAGGGAAAAAAGGGATTGAAAGGAGAGAAAGGGGACAAGGTGAGTTCATCTCTATTTGTAGTGCATTCTCCATTAATTAGAATTAAAACTCTCTCTTTAAGTAATGGTAAAATAAATATTTTTTCACAGTGATGCATATGGATAATCATGTTGGGTGTAGGTAAATGTAAACTCATTGAATCCTTGTCTATTCTTTTAGGGAGAGCAGGGAGAAAAGGGATCTGATGGACCTCAAGGACCTCATGTTAGTGAATTTAATTTTGTTATTTTTTCCAAATAGACACCACATAACAATACTTACCGCCTTCATTGGGACATTGTAAAAAGAATCAACCTTTTAGTTAGAAAAGGGGACCTGTTTCTGGATAGTAGATAGACTTTGTCCTCAGGCAACAACTTTGAAACCTAATGGTTTGTGAAACATGTTGTAGCACCAAATTCAACACATTTATATGTTTATTCAACTTTTGAAGGGACTAACTGGGCCGATGGGGTTAAAAGGAGATGAAGGTCCAAGAGGAGCCCCTGGAGATCCTGCCAAGGGTGTAAGAACACATCAACATTAACTTAAACAGCACAAATAAAACACATCAGGCTAACTTTTTCTTTTTCTTTTTACACAACTGGCAGATAATTGGGCCAACTGGAAAAAAGGGTGCCAGGGTGAGCCGGTTTTTGCTTTTGTCTTTCTCAGCTATCTTTGTTAACTAGAGCACAGAGATTGTGCTACAGTACACTCTACTTGCAGTTCTACCAGACAAGTGTGGAGAATGTTGGAAAACCCAAAGGGTTTTAAAAGAAACACTGGAAATAACCAACTTAAGTAAAGCAATAGTAGCTCAAGAATTAGCTGGCCTAAATTCAACATTTTGGTACTAATGTAGAGATAATAAAAATATGTTTGCAGTGGAACCACTACCACAGCTTTTACCATGTCTAATCTATTTGTACTTAAATAAAAAATCACCTCAAGTATTTGATTAAAACCATAAATTGTGTATATCAACACATCTACCATAAATGCATCAGATTTGGACCAAATCATTTGAAGCATATATGATCAACATTGGTTTTAGTAGTTAATTGTGCCAGGCAAAGCTGTTATTTAGGCATAATTTGGTCAAATGTGTTATTCAGTTCATAAATGATATCTATTAAAATAAAAGCATAGATTTCCAAAGTAAGAATCTGTCACCACATTTACGTCGTATATCATCAGCTATGTTTGGAGCAGTTTATGAAGCAGACTGTGTGTAAAGCACAGAAGATATAAAAGTGACTACTGCTTTTATAACCTTTGTTAAATAAGAAATTGTGATGCCCGACAACCTCCAAAAAAGACCTCTTAATACTTGTTTTTACTAGTGCATTCTCATGTGCACATGTGCTTGTGAAAGTTCATCAGCCTCAGCATTGTTCCAATTCATGATCAACACAAGACCAAAAACAAAGTCCCCGAATGTTGCTCTCACCCCTCCCTCTTTACGGAGCATCCATCAGAGCAGACTTGTGTGTTCTCTAGATTAACAGCTGTCCCAGCAGCAGTAGCTTCAAGGGGAGCTCAGGGTGTTAAGTTAAAAGTTCAATAGTCTGTTGCCGTTGTTCTGTAGAAGTACGTGTTGAGATCATTTGAGGTGATCCATTTACTGATTTAATGCGAGATTTTGAAAAAGTTTCAATGTTGAGAGGACCATGGCAACCAGTGGAGCTCTTTGTCTCGTTGATCATTGTCTTGTTGGAAGTTAAATCTCCATCCCTGTTTCAGGTCTTTTGCAGACTCCAACAGGTTCTCTTCAAGAATGCTCCTGTATTTGGCTCCATCCATCTTCACAACAATTTAAACCATCTTACCTGTCCCTGTTGAAGAAAAACAGAACCAAACCATTATACTGCTACTTGCTTTTATGCCAAACTTAACGTTTTGCATTGTTGTCAAAAAGTTCAATTTTGGTTTCATATGACCAGAGCACCTTCTGTTTGCTTTGTCTCCCAGGCGGCTTTTGGCAAACTTTAAACAAGACTTTTTATGGATACCTTTCAGAAATGTCTGTCTTCCATAAAGGCCAGATTTGTGCAGTATACGACTGATTGTTGTCCTGTGGACAGATTCTCTCATCTCAGCAGTTCATCCACAGTGATCATGGACCTCTTGGCTGCATCTCTGATCAGCCTTCTCCTTGTTTTAGCTGAAGGTTTAGAGGGGCGGCCTGGTCTTAGTAGATTTGCAGTGGTCTGACACTTCTCCAATTTTAATTTTACTGCTTGCACAGTGCTCCTTGGGATGGTTAAAGCTTGGGAAATATTTGTGTGGTCAAACCCAGCTTTAAACTTCTCAACAACAGTATCCTGGACCCTCCTGGTGTGATTCTTGTTCTCCACGATGTTCTCTGTGCTTTAAACGGACCTCTGACACTTTCACAGAGCAGGTGCATTTATACAGAGAGTTGATTTCACACAGTTGGATTATGTGTATCATCAGTCATTCAGGTCAACATTGGATCATTCAGAGATCCTCAATGAACTTCTGGAGAGAGATTGTTCCACTTTCAGTGGAGAGTTTGTTTTATTTTTGTCTTGTCTGTTGTATGTTACTACTGTATCACAAAGCATTCTAAAAGTCATGAAATGCTTTTAAAAAGGATAATAAGGATCCAATCAGTAACCAGTAGTGCTGACATTAATCAGTTGCAGAGTATTATTTGGTTTAGAGACAAAAATATTTAATGTCCATTCCAATAAACGAAGGGTATTGGGGAAACTCACCCCGTCCATCATGCATAACAGGAAATATTGCATTCTCATGACAACCAGGAAGACTTTTTTTAATCTGCTGGGAACATTTATGCTTTATCATACATGCCATCAATTTCAGATGCATCTGGGCTTTTGCTTGGTGTTTCTGAAGATGTTTCAACACCTACCCGCTCTCTCAATCATGTCTGCTTGCACCAGAGTGGTTTGAAGGCTGGTATTTTTAAGCTGCATGTTGGTCTGTCCTCTTAGGCAGATGTCAAATGCAAATTAAAGAGCCACCTGTTGTCCTCCTGGGTTGTTTGTTGTGTATGGGATGTGTTTGAATCATGAGTCTGCTGATGTCAATTCTTAAGAAGTTTTTCCTTCACTGAATTGTAGATGCTTGTAAGATGAAACATTATAAATGTTTGTTGTGACCCGGATGACAGAATTCACTGAGGCTCAGGTAGATTGTTTAAAAGAAAAAGAGGAAAAAAATCAATTTTGTGTCTCAAAAAACTAAAATACACCTTACGGTGATACTTGGATACATCATCAGTGATTAACACAGGGTTTTTCAGGTCTTTAATAATCAGACACCTTGATCCGGGCGACCCAGCCTCGGGCGATCACTCCCCGGCTTGTGTCCAAGTAGCGCACCATGGATCCCCACTATGGATCCAAAGCCAACGCAAGGCCTTTCCTGTGGCCTCAAGCATGTTATGCTGCCTTCCTCAACTGCAGTCCTCTAACACCAAGGAGATGAACACTCTCTGGAGTGAATGTACTGCAAAACCTCTGCACCCGATTCCGACAGGTTCGCAGTGGGCCTTCCAGCCATTGCTCTGGCATTCTGTGGTGAGCTCAGAGTTTTGTCTCTCTTGTGTTCATTAGCCTCCTCAATCCAGTCCTCCCATGGGACAGTCAGGTCCTGTAGGACCACATGCTTGGTGATCTCTGATGTTAACACCATATCTGGACGGAGTGAAGTGGTAGCTATGTTTACTGGAAACTTGAGTTGCCGTCCCAGATCAACTTGAAGCTGCCAGTCATGAGCAGTAGTGAGGAGCCCTCCTGAGGAATTGGGCTGGTGGTTTGCCTTCAGCCCTGCTCTAACAAAGGTGGTTGACTGTGTGGAATGATATTCGCATTCAGAGCTGTAACCAGCTGGTTTGTGCCATTCTCCTCTGCAGAGTAAAATAAAACCTTTTCTTCCTTGGATATCAACTCTCAGTGCTCATTTTTTACTCCACAACTGCTTCGGAGAAACCTGGGTCTTGCTGTTCTGTATCACTGTGCTGATTGAGTCCACCAAGGATTTTACAACTTTGTCATGGCGCCAACGATACCGCACCTCTCCTAAGGCCTTTGGGCAGTAGCTAATAATGTGCTCCATGGTGCCCCTTCCCTGGCATAGTTTACACTCAGGACTATCTGCCAGGCCCCAAGGTGTGAAGGTTGGTTGGACTTGGGAGAATGTCATAGACAGATTGCATGAGGAACTTTGTGCGAAGAAGTTCAGCACTCCAGAGCTCTGCCCATGTGCACTTGTCAACGTGCTTCCACCTAGTCCATGCCCCTTGCTTGGACATGCCAACTATCTTGATCTGACGTTCTTCCCACCTCTGCATGGACCTCTTCTTGAACCAGTTGGCGCTTCTCCTTTCAGCTGGCATGGTCGTAGCATTGCTTGGAAAAGCTGCCCAGGCTTGCCCTCCCAACTGCCTCGTCTTTGACCAAGGTTTTATGCCTCACAAATCTTGGAAAACTCAATACAGTCATAGTAAGTTAGAGTATGTGTTCAAATAAGGTATGTCTTTATCATTTAAAGAGCCTTTGATTGTAAAAAAAAACTTTAAGCTGATATTAAACACAGTTTTGCATTAAGCCCACATTTTCTTTATTACATTTTTATCTTAAAATTTCCATTCCTCAGTGTTGTTTAGATTAACTGTAAATGGAAATGGCACACATTAGGGCTTGAAAACATCCGTCTGTGTGTAATGAATGTATCTCTTACCAACCAAAATAACAGAATTTTACTTTCCAATAGTATTCTAATTTCATTGAAAATAGGAAAATATGGTGTCAAAAGTTGTTTTTTCTTTTAGCCCAGTGTTGCTAAAAAAAAAAAAAAGAAAAGGAAAAAAAAAAGAAATACTTAAGCTAAATGTGTTTTTAAGTTGACCATATTTATTTGTGTTATATATTATAACTTGTTGAAGCTACAGCTCTCAGCTTTGGGGAAGTGATGCTTTTGATGTTTTGTTCCATGAAAACATTGTTAATTAATTATTCGGGGTATTCTTGCTCACTCACTCAGCCCTCTGGGTCCGCTTATCAAACACAATTAAGATTTCTCTCATTAACTTTTGCAGTTGGTTTCTGAATGCTTCGTTAAAGGGGACCTTTTTAATCTCAGTCCAGGGGGTATCATTTAGAGTGGAAAAAAACTTTGTCCAGACTCATGATGACTGCCTGTGTCCACGTTGTCTATGTGAAACTGTAATTTCTTCCAGGGAGATGTCGGCCCGGTTGGACCCACAGGTCCTCAGGGAATCAAAGGAGACAGAGGAGATAAAGGACAAAAGGTTAAAAGAGAGAAATAATTGTTTTTTCCTAAATCGTTTTACTTGTGATTAGAGAAACTGTAAGCATACTGTTGCTGTTTGCTTTGGTAAATGCAGGGAAGTCCTGGTTTTGGGATACCAGGTTTGCCTGGACAAAAGGGGATAAATGGTGAGAGGGTGAGTCAATGACAGTTTTTTTTGGTCATCTAGTAAATATGAAAGATTAATGAAATTTTAACTGAGTCTAAATGTTTTGTTATTAGGGAAATGTTGGACTATCAGGAAAACCAGGGCCAAAGGTGAGTGAAATTAAAGAGTTTTTTTGGAGATATTAAATCTCACTAGATTGCATGTCTAGTGTATAAAACTATTTGTTTTTATTTGTTTTTTTTTGTTTGTTTTTTTATTTGGGTCTGTATTAAGAATTTGACCTAAATTCCAAGTTACTTCTGCAAAAAACATTAGCTTTAAAATAAGTAACAAATAGGAAGAATTTATTAAATTAAGATGAACAAATGTCAACATTTTCACATTGAAGTGGTAGCAATTTGCAAAAGATCATTAGTTTCAGTTAAGCAAAACAAAGTCTTTTTGTTTTATTTCTATTTTTCCACCAGCTTTTATGGAGGAAAATTAATCAGGGAGACATGCACCTTTGTGAAATGATATCAACAATATCAACAGCTGCATAATATTCAAAAGATACAAGTTTGTGTTTTAATTTCCGAACAAAAATATACTTTTTGCAAAGAATTCAAATGAATTACAAAAGAAACCTAAGGATTTTAATCATTTCGGCAAAAAAAAAAACTTACTTTTAGAATTTTATCACTGCTTGAGTAAAGGTTTTCTGCAGAAAAGCTCATGCAAAACAATTTAATCAGTTACAGTAGTTTACTTCTTCCACTGACAAGTATATTAGTTCCCTCATCTACTTTCAGGCATCATTTGCATTATGAAATGGGCACTATCATAGTAGATAATGACTCATTATTGGACTTGTGGGGTTCCTCTGCATGTTTTTCTACTGTAGGTATTTTCCAGGTGGAAGGTTTCTTCTCAGGCTTCCCTGAGTAACCTCATTCTCCATCACAGCAGGCAACAGATTTTAGCAAAAATGCTTTAAACCGAACTGTGAACTACTTACCTGTCACCACAGGCAGACAAAGTAATTTGAAATCTAGTATTTAAAGCAAATTATTTAGACACAGCATTATATTTTCAACCTGTAAAATTCTTGAGGTTCATTCAAATGTTTAAATGTTTTTTAGGGCAGGGATGGTGCAAAAGGCGAAAAGGGGACTGTTGGGTTACCTGGAAATCCTGGAGACCCAGGATTAAGAGGTAAAGATGTAAGTAAGTCCTGTGTGGATAAATAGCAATTAAAATTAGTTATTGGTGTAATGCAGTTTTATGATGCATTTTTATGATGTAGGAATCTTTAAAATTATGATACTATTTCGGTCCAAAACACAACAAACTATAGTGCCATGAAACCCAAGGCAAAGTAAAAGTGCAGCAAAAGTATTTAAACTGTGTTGTCATTTTGCATTTATCTATAATTCCTTGTTCTTGCAATTAATTGTATCTGAGAGTTGTAATGTTAATGAGGCTGTATAAAACCATCTTGTAGTTTTCCGATACTTATTTATGCAATAAGAATGGATTTCTTCCGATGCACCCTCTCAATAAAATCCCCAAAATTTAAATGGTGCAAGCTTTTTGCACTACACTGCATTTCTAGCCAATTTTGCATTAAATCATAAGTAAAGAATGTCCAATAAAGCATAAGTAAAGTTCCATCAATCAAACCTTTTCATTGAAGTGAAGGTGGACTTCTTATTTCTGTAGCCAAGTACAGTATGCCATGGAATAATATTAATTCTTACGTGTCCACAAAGGGAGCATCTGGACTTAAGGGAGAACCAGGGATGAAGGTATGATCAGCCTTACTACATAATAATCGTGTTTAATTTGAGCAAGATTTTACCACTTAACCCTAATTCTGAGGTCATAGAGTTTTCTATATTAAAAATGTGTCTTCAATTAGCCCATGCCTGAAAAATACCTGTTTAAAGTTGATCTTATTGTGCATTTTGCAGGGTGAACCAGGGTCAACAGGAGAGCCTGGTGAAAGAGGAATTAGGGTATGTATACATATAAATATATAGAGAGCGAGAAAGAGATATTTGAAGATGTTTTTTTACTTGAACCTGGAATAAAATGGCAAAAGCAGCACATGCATTTTAATAAAATAAAGCATACAGACATTTGAAAAGCAAACAGTCAGTCACCATTAACCCAAAAACAATTTAAGAACAACTGGTATCAAAAGGATCAATGAGTAAAATGAATAAAATATTTAAATCGATCAGTTTGTTAAATTACTTGAGATTTCTAATATAAAACCTTTTTTTCCAAACTTATTCACATAATTTGGTTTTCCTACTTCATAGCTTCAGTTATGAAACATTAGTTTACTTTGCATTGGTTTTAAACCTGTAGAAAAATTAATACTTTGTCACTCTTTTGTTGACCAGGGTCCACTGGGGTTACCGGGGCGACCAGGTGACCCTGGAGAAAAAGGCGAACCTGGTGTTCCTGTAAGTGATGGTATTTGATGGTCACTGCTCTCCAAGATTCATTATAGTTAGCTAATTATTCCCCCTCCCTTTATTTTTTGAAGGGGGTTGATGGAAAGAAAGGTGACAAAGGAGAGACGGTATGTTTGCGCACACTCTCCCCTCCTCCCTTTTATTGATGATGCTGTTTATTGCTTTTCCTTCTGGCTGCTTTCTGATCATTCTTCTGTGGCACTCACCCTTTAAATGCTACACAACCTTTTATCCTCTTGTAAAGATATGATTCCTGTTTTGATATGATTCTAATTAACTTGCCTTTTGTGTGAGTCACCCTTGGGAGCTCAGTCTAATTTTCAGTTGCGTTACAAACACTACATGTTTTGTGTAACATCTTAGATTTTTAACTGTCGCTTTGTTCCCATTCTTTTGCTCCTGCTGGGATTGAAACAAAGGGGAAACCTGGACCTCCGGGAACACAAGTAAACAAATCAGCATTACTATTTTATACTTTTCCTCATTTAAAACCTGTCTGAGATTTTACAATATTTGTTCAAATTAACTTTATGTTCTTTGGAATATTTGAAATGTGTTGTTCTGTTTATCACCAGATTGTGGCTGACAACAACATTCTGACCAGAGTCATCAAGGTCAGTAGAAAATAAATAACTTACAGCATCCTTAGTCGTAACTTAATAATTTGTGATAAAGTGACACCTACACCTTTTCTTTATTCTCTCTTTATGTCATCAGGGTGACCCTGGAGAACCGGGTCAGCCTGGCTTGAGAGGAGAAGCAGGTTTACCTGGACCAAGGGTAAGGATTCTTGTCCTTTTTAACTACATAAAAAAATATTTTCAACAAAGATCAAGGGCGAAAAGTGAAGCTCATAATAGATGGTTTATATTTATTGTGGTAAATATGTTCATCAAAATGCTGGTGAAGATTCTCGGTCATCCAGGTCATAGTCATTCCAAAACAGTTAAAAAACAAAACACTGAACTTTGTTTTCCAAGTTTGAAGACGTTTTGCCTCCCATCAAGGGAGTTTTTCCATTTAAAATTTTAGAATTAGCATTGAGTTCCAAGCTTTATAGAGGGGCCCATCAAAGCCTTGTTTTGTCTTAGAAAACATTCACACTCAACTGGAAGAACAGATCAGCCCCTTATTAATGGGAAGTCATTGAGGTCTTTGTTAGACTGCAATAGCCGATGTTAGTCTGTGCCTCTGATTTTTCTACATCATCCAACTTGCTATACAAAGCTATTGTTTGTCAATGAATTTTGATAAAAGTAATTTATACTCACCAGTATACTTGCAATAATGAGTCATGATCAATTATTTGAGACAAATGCAAATCCCTCAGACTTTATGGATACTAAATAAAAGTGGAACCACCATAATATCTGCGAAACACAAACAAATAATAGTACTTAGAGCTATACTGAATTTCATTGAACTTTATTGATCTCTAACTGGAAAAATTCACCTCTGCATTTAATCCATTTTCTTGGGGATCTGTGGGCTGCCACTGTGCGGCACCCAGGCAGCAGTGTGGGGTTAAGTGTCTTTCTCAGGGACCCAGACCCAGAGCCTGAGTCGGGCTTGAACTTAGAACCTCCAGCAACCATGTGCAATGTCTACACAAGCTATATGGTAGTACGTGCAGACACCAAGCACTAAAACTTTCCAGTAATGATCAGTGACACTAATCTGTAAAAAGTTTAAAGGTTTACAATAATTACAACACAAGATGACAGAAAACTATGAAATTCTAAATTTTAGCAGTAAGAGTTTCATGGTGACTGCTTCAAATGCATCCTGACAGATGCTAGAACAGAGCACATAAGATTCTTAAAAGATCAAAACAGTTGCCTATTAACACACGCAGACTTTAATTATAAAAAGCAGCATTGCTTATTAGGAAAAAAAATTATTCAATATTGAAGGTGGTTATAATAAAATAGATTACTATGGCTTCCATAAACCCTAGCACTTTTAATGAAGACCAGCTTAAAGCTACAGTATGTAACTTTTAGTGACATCTAGCGGTCAGACTGCAGACTGCAGCAACATGAACATCTCCCCCCCACCGCTTCTCCCCCCCAACAGTACGGCGAGCGTTACGGGACAAAATGTCTTCCATGACGTCCGCATCACCTACCTTCTCAAGTGATGAGGTTTGTTTACATAGATAATTTTACAGATAGTATTTCATTAGTCTGTGTAGGGTATAGATTTCATGTAGACTTAAGATAATAAATATACCCGTTATTTTTTTACATCGTTGGGACATTTTGGCGATCTCGCAATCGCTAGTTTGTTGGCTCTGCGCTGCCGTAGCGCAAAGATGTCTGCCTCCGTGGCTGCGAGACCCGCTCCTATGTAATTATAAATAACAAATTCTAAGGCAACGCAAATATTAAGGTTAAGAGGCTGAGCTCGTAGATGATGATAAAATAACATAGTTATGTATAATATATTACATTTCTGACTGTATATCCCAGTAATTATTACACACTGTAGCTTTAAAGTCTGTCATTTAGGTTAATGTTGTGCTAAAAGTCTTGTTAGGTTAATGTCTCCTGGTGAAAGGTCTCCACTTGTTGATCCAGAGTTGTTTTCCTTTACAAACACACGCTTAACTCTGGCCTGGCTGTTTACATTTTAAACACTGTTTCAATAATGTTGCTGTGCTACATGTACTGCACCTCAACAGGTAAGAAATCTGTATGCATTATGGAGAGAGAAAAAAAAAAGTGAACTTTCAGCAAATTACATTTCAGGCAGGAAAGGTTACAGCAGTAAGTCACAATAAATAAATGCTTTTAATTTTTTCAGACTTCACAAACCATCAATTTGCAATCAGGACCACAGGATCACAGATCCTTAACCGTACTCGATAGGCAAGAGATGTTTTTCCAGACATCTTTATTTATGCTAGACAATCCTAAAGAAATGTTTTTTCCCATCTAACCCACATTTTTTTTATTATTTTTTTTTTTATTGGTCTGATAGAGTTTTAAAAAGTTGCCATTGCCGGGATTATTACCTGGATGACATGTTCTCTTTTCTTTTCCATTTTAATTGATTTAGAGAAGAGGGTCTTGCATAAAGGTTTTACTAAAAGCAAATAGGAAGACAATGACTACTGCTCATAAAATACCACTCACTTTTATTTTTCTCTAGGGTCCAGAAGGGAAACCTGGATTACCAGGACAGTCTCAGGTGCATCAGAATAAAAACATGTTCTTCTTTAACTTATTCTGTTTGCCTGAATGGGTTCTCATAACAAATATTTCACATTACAGGGCTCTGGAAAAGATGGGCTTGACGGTGTTCCAGGAAAACCCGGAGTAAAGGTTGAAAAGTTAAAAAATACAGTCAACCTCTTTAACTTCTGTTTTCATTGAATGGAATGAAATGAAGGATGTTCTTTTATCATTGTAGGGTGACAAAGGGCAAAAAGGAGAGCCTGGTCCAGTGAGTAATATGTTTTGGGGAAAACCAAAACATAAAATAAAACTTTCTGTTAAACAGCTTTCAAATTAATACAAAGCATTTTAAAACGCAGTGGAAGATTTTTATGCATTAGTGAGCTCTCTGTGTGGATGTATCTATAGACTCCACTACACTACAGGAGATTTTAATGCTGTAGGCTGTATAGATTTTAGACAGCAAAAACAGCTGCAGCAACACTAACCCTACTTAAGCTATATGAACTAGACTCTTAATCTATTTTTAATGGACAAGTTTTTTTATGTGATTTAACTTAATTGAATATATGAATTGTGTAATTAGCCATCAATTTTCTTTTACTTATTCAGGTCCAGATTGTGATAATGAGATTAATTATATCATTAGAAACTGTTCTTATAAGATGCTGCAAAGCAAAGGAAAGATGTGATCTAATGATACATAATTGTTCTTCATAATATCCCCATTAAGTTTCTACAATACTATAATGTTCTGGTGTGTATCACCATGTAATGGGCATCAAACTGCATTTTGTTTGGTGTGGTATTGTCTAAGAGTGTAGTAAATCAGACTTGGTGAACCCTATGAAACTTGAAACTTTATGAACAAGTCAACCAGATACTTGGAGAAACCACCGAATGAAGCCTAACGATTTCAAAATGACTTTGGTTTGCAATATACCAGAATTATAAATGTTTTTTTCCCCCTTATCAGAAGTTTCCATTCAGTTCCCAGGAAACTTTTTGGCTTTTGTAAGCTTCTTATTTTACTAGATAGATATTGTTTAATTCACAATATCTATCTCTATGTTAACCAGAGTCATGTGAATTTATTAAAGGGAACATCTCAAATTTACTGATTTCTTGTGTGGTATGGTGTAAAAGTGAACATAGAAACTTATTACATTAGAAATATAATTGTGAATCACTACAAGTCTGCTTTATCCTTGGATATAATGTCCAGATGTATGAAAGGGCCATCTTAGTTCATTACACACAAATATAAACACTAATAGCCATTGAAAGGAAAATAATTTTGTTTTCCAGAAAATGTATTTTGGTGCTTAATAGACCCTTCACCCCTGGAAAGAAAGATAACCTTATTTAGATGTTTGTTGACAGAGCAACAATAGTCCTGCTGAGATAACTTTTTTTGTTCTGTAATTTACACATATCCATTATATCTCTGGTGAACTAAGGTTCCCACATAGAATGGGAGGTTGGAAGTAATTCCACCAATATTGCACCTTAGATGCACTTTGGAAGGTAGTAAAGTATAAGTAAAATGTATAAACTTTAAGGGATAATGCAAGATTGCAGAAATTATAATAATAAAAAAATAATAATAGAACTTTATTGATCTCACATCGGAGAAATTCACCTCTACATTTAAACCATCCCCTTAAGGAGCAGTGGGATGCCATTTTGCAGCACCCGGCGAGCAGTATGGGGTTAAGGGTCTTTGCTCAGGCACCCAGAGGGGCAGTCTGTGGGAGTGGTGATTGAACTCAGAACCTCAGGATTCCAAGCTCTGTACCCTAACAACTAGGCTGCCACGCCCCCGATACTGCTATTAAACATTTTATCATCTTCTAGCTTCAGTGTAAACTGGGAAATGGTATAGATTAAGATGAAATTCTGAGAACATTTACCCTGTATTTAAAGTACTGAACGCATTCGGACAGTATGTCCTTTCTCCAAGGAAAAATCTGTTGAATCTAAGACTGCAAGTTATGAGCTACAACTGTCTAAAAACACCATCGCAGCCTGTACCAAAATGAGCTGAAAGGCAACTCTGAATGGATGAAGCAGATAATTTAAAAGTCAATCTAAAGTTTGCCAATCCCAGGGAAATGCAAGTTTAGTTCAAGTGATGCATTTCTGCAACACCACCAAATTGGTACTGTTTTCAAATAATCTAATTTGCACTTCACCCAATCTCACTTTTAGATATTGTTGTGACAAAACTTTAACTAACTCTGCTATACCCTATAAATAGGCAATCCATTATCATTGCTGGTCCACATGCTAATTAGCCCTTCACAATTGTGCTATACAGGGTGGCTCATTGATTTGGAAAAAGAGCTTATGACTTCTGATTGCTTGGTCAAAGAGGGAAAGACACCCTTGGAATAATGCTTGCTTGGTAGTGTGCACCGATGATATAAGAATGTCATCTTAAAACACAAAGTGCAAGAATTAAACTGGAATATTTGCTCCCACTTTAAAAGATGGAAAATAAAAGTGGAATTAATTTATTCTTAGCTGATTTGGAAAAATATGAGGGCATCATCATCACCATGTGACTAGATTGTTTAGTGAAATAATCTGGAATACTTGAAATGTTAGATGGCTATAAAGTTTCCAAATTTCAGATTTTAAATGTGTATTAGGTGTATTTAACTGCTTTCCCTAACAAGTTTAAACTGAGTTATATTTATGCCAATGAACAGAGAGGAGAAAAGGGAGACCAAGGGATTGCTGGAATGCCTGGATTACCAGGAAGTCCGGTGAGTATCACCTCAAAAACCTCCAGATTAACCTTTATGGTCGAATTGGGTTAAGATGTAATGATTCAGTTAACAGCTAATGTAATGTCAAGGTAGTTCACAAAAAAGCCAAATGGGTCCATTTGCATTGGTTTTATTTCAGGGGAGACCAGGAATAGATGGGAAAAGAGGTCTGACTGGAAAAGATGTAAGAAATGCTTTGTACATTTACAGTATTAAATGCCCAGCCTGTATTTTGTCTGTATTAACTTATAAAAAAAAAAACCTAAATTTTTTTTTTCCAGGGTGAAAAAGGACCCAAAGGAGATGATGGAAAAAAGGTCTTTATAAAATATTTCAAAAGAAACATCAATTGTGATTCATTTTCTTTGACTGAAAACATTTCTCTTTATTCAAGGGAGATAAAGGAGATCCAGGTGTGAATGTAAGTTGTTTTAAAAGTTCTGATATATAAACAAAAATTGCAATGTAAAAAGCTCAATGTTTAGTTTTATTACCTTCAATCTCAAACTTTTTATTTTCTTTAAAGGGGAAGGATGGAAACAAAGGGGAGCCAGGGCCTCCAGGCTTGCCTGGTAGGCAGGTTCTTGTCACTCCTGAGGTAGAAATGAACCCATGTTTTTATTTTGATTTCTTAATTAGCAGATGGAGACATCAGATCTGATGTCTGATATTTGAAACCTTTTAAATCTGTTACTGTGAGAGATTCAGGTCGAACCAAACTCATTCCTGGGTTATTTCTTTTTTTATACTTTTCCCCCATTAATTACAGTATAGGTGTATTGATGCAATTACATCTGTCAATTTGAGAAAACTAAATACATAAAACAAACAAAAAACAAAAACAAACAACAGGTCAGTTTTACTGCAAAATAAACAATATGTACTGTACATCATTTTAAATGGTGTTCAAATTTTTTATTTAATTTCAAAATACATAGCCTGATAAACCAGACTAAATGTGAGATTAAAAGTGTAATTTACTCGCAGGCAAAAATTATTTTGGCCACTGGTGGGTGGGACTAGTTTTCTAGGCTACAAAATACATACTTTTATGTCAAACTCTGAAAAGTGCTGTATAAAATATAAAATAAAAGGATGCAATACTAGAAGTGATAAATTGCTGATGTTTGTCTGTATAAGAAATAGTGAAAAAAACCTTTAACAATTATAGTCTTCGTGTTTTCAGATCATATTTTCAAATGACTGTTCACGAAACGTATCATTTAGCCTAACATACGCTTAAACATTTTTTTTTTCATTTGCTTATTTATGTGGAACTATTTATGTTCAGGGATCCACAATTGATGAAATCCGGCAGGCATTTCCAATCCCGATGGGTCCACCAGGAGCTACTGTGAGTTTACCGTTTCTTCCTACACGTTTTCTGCATACACCACGAGGAACTCATAAATAATTGTATAGTCTTTCTGGTGTTGCTTGGCATAATTCCTGCATTTGCCTATATAGAATATAAATCCTTAATGAATGATAGCTGCATTATGCTTTTGCTTGCAACTGGCTGTAGATGGAGAATGCATTGTAAGTGTGATGCCATGCATATTGGATATATTCTCATAATGTTTCTTTCCTTTCTTTCTGTGTGTAGGGGGCACCAGGAATGAAGGTAAGATTGTAACTCTGCTCATTTTGAATAAGGGTTTTCAAACAAACAAGGCAGGTGTGGCTTTATACTTTTTCATGTTTCTCAGGGTGATAAAGGTGAACAAGGCCTGAAAGGAGATAAGGTAGTTAATGCTGAATTATATGTGAAACATATGGACATTAATATTGCCTTTTTATGCTGTATATTAATGCACATGTCTATGCAGGGAGCTCCTGGAAAGTCTCTGGAGATGAAGGTTGAATACATGACATTCTGATTCTTCCTCTGGGATATTTGCTGAAGGTTTATAAGATTGAATATCTAGAAATATTTGTTTCTATTTTAGGACATTGAGAGGATGTTTGAAGATTATGGAATAAGGGTAAGCTTTGAATATCACCATGTATATAATGGCCTCATGAAAATAGTAATGGTGAAAGAGCAGAACTGCAAAACACATAGTAAATAAAGCATTTGTTTCCCAGCTGCCTCTGTTGAAGGCTTTGATTGACAGGCTGCTGCAGGACGGTATAGAGGAGCTGCTTCATGTGCTCATATCATCCAAGAAAAAAGAAAAAACAGACACTCACACCTCCAATGTCATCACTGAGTACACAGTACGTAATGTGAAACTGAATTTTTTTTTCTTACTCATGTCCTTTGTTCTCTCAGAGGCTTTAAACTGTCAGAGTAGAAACAACAGAAATAAAATATATAGACAGTCAGTGGAGATTTTGGTATGAAAATTCTCGTGAGGCCACAGGCTGTTCCCAACAGGAACTTTGACAATGTAATCCAAACATAGACGTATTACACTGAGCCTCACTTGAAGTACAGATACAACTTGCTGTGCACATGTGCTAAATCACACAGTAATAACTATCTGACAAAGTGTGTTTAAGAATCCCCACATTATTTACTGACAACTGAAGCAAACTGTTGCTGTCCATGGTGCTGACAGAAACTGAATGCATCGCCTGCATTGTATGAAGGATTTGATCGACTAAATTAAACAACACAGCCAACGACAACAAAGACGTGCCGTATCAAGTCAAAGCTGTTAAGAAGATAGATTAGGAACCCGCTGCAAAAAGAAATATCATATATTCTGAAAAATCTCGCTCAACATAATTTTTCTTTGTTTTAATTCCTGCAATAGTCAATGATCAATAAAGCATAGCCATATTTGACTTACCAATAATTGCTGTTAATAGTCAATTAGTCTGTGGATAAATTATTTTCATGGGACAGCATTACCAGCACATTCAGTCTTTGTTATTCGGTTTCATTCCAATTAAATATTCTCTTCAGAGAGAAATTTCTCTCATATTCAGTGCTTGTCACTAGTATTTTGGTAATGATTTAAAGAATGGTCAAGGCTTCTTGGGTTGTTTTTACTAATGGGCTTCATCAGAGAAAGTATTGAGTTGTCTTTCCTGTGGTGAGAGAGAGACATCAACTTAGTTTTTAGCTTTACCTAATTTATTTTTGGCTAGTGTTTAATCGCAAATTCCAATCTACCCGCTGAAAACGACTTCACAAACCTAGAGAAGAGTGCGCAATCAATATGCTTTAATGCAATAAAATCGACAATCTTGGTGTGCCTCTGCTCCACTTGACTCACCAGTGTTACAGGCCAGCTCATCAGCCTTTTAGTCTTTTTTTACATGTCATGCCAAATTATTATTTTTTGACTAATCAGAGGAGTAATTATCTTTATTGTAAACTTTCTAGAGTTCCTTGAAATTTGACCTCACCAGCCAGTCACTGACAGAACTGGACACTGAGGACAGAGATTTAGAGGACCAGCTTGGTGATACTTTGTCATCCGTAAGTATTCATTACTGTAAGAACTAAGCAGTAAGAATTTAAAATCCTCAAACTAGAAGGAAAAATTCACAGCTCATGCCTAAAGTTTATACCCACTGACCGTATTTCTGGAATCAAATATTTCCCTTTCAAGAAAAAGAAAAAACATTAAATATACAATTTATTGATTTATTAAAACAAAAAAATATTAAAACAAAAGCATTTGCATTCAAAATAGAACAAGAATTAAATATATATGAATACATTTCTCCTAATATTTGGTTATCTGACCCATAGTGCATTGCACATCTGACATAATTCTCTCTGCATATTTTAAGAATTATATTAAAGAATTGTAAGATTTTAGTAACTTGTAAGTTCAAATTGTTGTTTTATCTGTAGTTGCTAGAGACCTGACTTATAAAATTAGTCTGCAAATTATTGAATAAGGTCGAGGTTTGGTAGCTTTCATTCTGGAAGCTTAACTTGGGGAGTGTTGACACTGCTACCCGGCTGCTGCACAATGGCAGCCCACTGCTCCCCAAGGGGATGGGTCAAATGAAGAGAGTGAATATTCCCATTGTGGGACATTAAAGGGATTTACTTTTTTTTAATTAAAATTTTTATTTTTTATGCATGTTTGCGTTATTATCACATCCATCCATATAACCCAAAAGGTCCCCCTCATGTGCATTGATTGCTAATGAACAAAGGCAATACCCGCTCCATGATTCCTTTTTTCTTTTTTCGTAACAGGGAAGAAATTTACTTTTAAGTCCAAGAGTTTTTAGAAATAATTTTTTTCTCAAAAATGGAAAGATTTGCTCATGCTCGCAAAACTCACAGATGTGACAGAATTTGATAAGTCTTAAAAAGCACTAAGAGTAGTTTTGTGTCACTGATTTGATGAACATGAATCTTTATTGGTTTGTTAAATGAAATTCCACACATGCACTTTAAGAAAATGCAAAGCAGCAGTGTCAAACACAGCAGTACGATGGAATCCTTTTAACTAAGCACCTTTCATTCAATTGTTTCTCAAAAGGATCCTTTGTCTGAAACTCTGGAGGGTCCGACATTGTGGACCATGACTACAGTAGATGGAGAAGAGAAATTAAATGATATTGAGACCAAATTAACAGGATCCAAAGAGACGGGAGAAGAAGAATGGGATAGGGCCGAAGAGTCATCACTTAAAAGGAATCAGACTCTGGTCAACTCTACTTTGAACTATACGAATGAGGTAAAGGAGTTTTTGACATTGTTGGAAACGATTCAATGCTGTTCAATGCTGTGATTTGTTGTTATTCTGTTTCATTTGTCATTTTCCTCTTTATTGTAAAATAATAATTACCGGTAATGTAGTTAAATTCAATAGGAATAAAAACATATATATTTTGTATCTACCTTTGACATTTTTAATCCTTTAATGTTCCATTAAAATATTCAAATATGATTCAGTGAATAAGACCAAAGCGTTTGTGTTAATGACAATTTTTATCTATTTCTGTCACCTGATCCCACAAATGTTCAGAATTTGTATATTTGTTTTTAGACAGTCTCAGGGTTGCCTAAAACTGTTCTGGAGACTGTTCTCCTCACTCAGGATGACCCACTGAAGAAGAACGCTGCACCAAAGAAGAAGAACAGGGGACATGGGAAAGTAAAGCTGCCATTGCTTTCTCAGTAACAAAATCTAAACATGCATAAAGCTCATAAAGCTACTCTGTCAGTTTAAATTAATGCCCATATTTAATGGACCACATTTGCCTTTGATGTTTTAGCTCAAAATGCACAAATACTTTACCGGTAATTGATGTGATATCATTTTTTAAAGACATGAAAATATTTACTTTTCTGTGCAGAAATGTGACATTTTTCTAAACCACTTTGTAATAATATTGTTGTAGAATTATACAAGCATGGATGCACTAATAAGAGAAAACGAGTATAGCGTAGTCATTATACTTTGAAGTTTTTCACCTTAATATAGCTCAGAACAGTGATAAATGACTAATTTTTAACCAGCTCCAAAAAATACTTGCGAGTGGCTTTGCATTTTTTATCAACTGAATAATTTTTGTCACAATTCAACTGAATATATTTATAGAAATTCATGTCAATGGGCTAAAATTCAAAGGCTTTGTGGTGGTTTGATTTTGATTTGATATCACCGATATTTTTGCATTAATCTTGATTATCATTAACTACTTTTGATATTAATCTTAACTTATCAACCATAGTTTTACCAAAAACCTAAAGCATGAAGAACTTTTACTTTTTTTCTCTCTCATTGACTGTTGACTTCTTAACCAGGGCAAAGGAAATAAAGGACGGCATAAGAGGCAGAGACATCGCCTGGTAAATGTCCTTAAAGGGGGTTAAACTAAAACGGGAAACTGAACTAATATTTTGATTAAACTAAACATAAACAAAGAAATTAGGGGTGTAACGAGACCTTCTAACATAAAAACAGCATTTCTGGTCAATGTGATATCATTCTAACGAAATTATAATCAGTACAGCATGACATTTATAAAATTATTTCACCCAGAATGAACTGTTCTCCCCACATCACTCCCTTGGTTCTAAACACAAGTATAGGTTGAAATATAAAAAAAAAAAAATTAGACTACCCTTTATAAAGCTAATGCATCATAAACTGATCAACATTTGATCAACCCTGCAGTCAGTGCCAGCTTGTGGTATTTTTTATACTTATGGATCAGCAAAATGTATTGTTAATTATAATGCACTGCACATAACTATGCAGCTATTTCTTTGTATTTACTCTTCTAACAACTGAGCATAAAATTATGACAACTAACACTGCATATAATTCTTTATTAGTCGAAACCATGGATGTGAGCTGTGTTGGTTTAAATATGGTGGTCCAGGGAGACATAGAAAAAGGTGACTGAGCAACATATTTTAAAACAGCATATCTGTTGTCAACATATTTTCTATTTTATTCATTTGCATACAGGGTGGTAAGTGTTCCATAGTTTTCTAAAAGTTTTGACACAAAGTCATTTGAAATTCATTTGATTTTATTTTTTGTTGTTTGTTATTGAATATTTTTAAGCCCAATTTATAATATGTCTAAAGTTGGATAGTATATTGAGTATTGTAGCTGTTAAAAGAACATACAAACATATATTAAATATGCAAGACTGAAAGAAACTGTTCATGATTACCTGATTTTTTAATTATTTCCCCCCCCCTTTTGAAAGTCTAGATTTTTCTTGCTAGGGTCCAGTTCCATGGCTCACTGCATCCTGCTTCTGCACTACAAACAATATATTTCATAACAGACATAATTTTCAGAAATATTTTCTACACAATAAGATGACATTGGTTCTTTCTGTTTGAAATTAAAACTGAAGGTAAAAAGCATAAAAGAGGAAAGGGGAGAAAGGGCATTCAGTCTTTGTCTGATAAAACATGTATAAGCTTTTAGCTATTCTTAGGAGTACCATTTAAGCTTGACCTCCTGCTGTGTTAGGTTTGAGATTTGTATTATGAAGTAAAAAAAGGAAGAGGTAGTTTAGTTTTTGTGTTTTGTGGAAGGAGCCCATTATTGAAGACAACTTAATTTACAGTTCTTAATCATACACCATGAATTGAAAATACTTGGTGCTGCTAAATTTTGCTTTACACTGACTGACCAACTCTTATCGGTCATAAATTGTGATAATGGTGCCATAGCTTCAGTCTTCTAAGGTGATAAAGAACAACGGCGTAGCTTTAGGATTTTTACTTGGTTGGAAAAAAAATGAAGGTTCCTACTTTACCAAAATTACATTGCTAAACCATCATCTTGTCTGTTTTTTTTAAATAAAGTGCCTTATCCCATCTTGTAAACTCAATGAACCGTTACACCCCTAATTTCAACTAACAGTTTTCTCACTACTAAAGCTAAAAACAGACTGCTTTGCCATTCTAACATGATTTAAACACAATTTAACAAGAAATAACCACTCCTTTACAAAATTTGAAGGAATTATAACAAATTATTAACACATTCTAAGTACCAAACTCCCATGAAATTCTTTTATGGATGTTTCTTTGTATAACATGAAGCATGTTCTTGTTGCAATACATATATGTCTCTAATTATACTGTTGACTATTTAATGCAGTTTCTTGGGTTTCGCTCTCCTCAACCACACAAACTATGTAAATGTTAATCCAATTTCAAAACATCCTATTTTAATTGTACTTTTTTATCTTTTCAGATAAGTAATGAGCAAAAAGAAGAAGAAAATGAGGAATTTTATGGCAGCGAAGAATACACTTATGAATATGAGGTAGGCCGCTTTTGCACTAAATTAGTAATTCAGGCTCTGCTGGAAACTTTCTCTTAAATGTGATGTTAATGATGTGGATTTTCTTACTCAAAGCACCGGGGATGTAGAGAGGCTCCCATCCCCCAGTTATCTCTAAGGATTCAAATATATCTGTGCCCACATGAATACTGGAAAACGTTGATTAATAACACACCCACTACCTCAATTTAATCATTAGGGATGAATTAGTTTGTCATTTCCGCTCTCTGTATCTGCTGTGTACTTTGTACGATGGATTTTCATGTTTAAAATTTGTGTTGAGAAAAGTTGTTCTCTTCTTTGAAAACAGGAAGAACCTCTCCCTGATGAAGAAACAGTCTCTTGGGTGAGGACAGAGAAAAGAGAGGTACTTTTTCTTCAAACAGGATGTTTTCATCTGTGACAGCTGGACTGAGTATAAATGTTATGATTCATATTTAATGTAAATTATGCTGAATGCTTCCCTGCATGTGCCTTGAAGTCCAAACAGTAGAATTCCCAAGTCCTCGGCATGAAAACAAAGCATAAACTATGTGCTTCAAATAATAAACAAAATAACTGCTGTTATAATAGAGATTTTTAGTGTAATCATCCTCTTAAATTAATCTGCATAGGAGGAGCAGCTATCAACTCAACTTCCTGCCCAGTTTGAAACCTCCAGTCGTCCTCTAGCCACTGACCAGGAAACGAATGCTCAGGTAACTACACATTATCCATGACGTACCTCCTTATTTCAGCCTGGTCATCCAGCACAAGGACACATCCATAAAATGAAAGCCTTCCACTTTGTTCCATTAAAAAAAACGATACAGGAATATATTATTTAAGCAGTTTAGGAATGTCCCCTGTGTGTTATTCAAGGAAAGTTAATTTTCTCTCTGGAAAGTAAACTTTTCTAAGGTTTTCACCCAAAGATAAAGTCAGAAGGGATGTATCTCTATAGTGTTATTTCATTTATATGCTTGGAAATATTTAAATCTACTAGATATTTTTCAGATTTTGCCTCATTATGAACAGAAAGCTCTCTGTATGTCCCTTGGGTGTGTTATAGACTTATCCAAACTAACATGTAATGAGTAACAGGAACATTATTTATGGATTTCATAATGAGTTTGCCACTCAGTGATTCCTCTATAGAATCAGCTTTTGCTGCATTAACACGCACCACTGCATAAGTGATCTTCTTACCACTTCTGTTTTAAAATTGCTGAAGCTCAATGAAATTTGCATACGAGCGATGGTAACCATACATTTTGAAGTTTGCTGCACTTTATCAACTGGCTTATGGTCTTTACTTAGACTTAGCCATTCTCAAATGTTTTTGTTTCATTTTGGTTTAGCTCTGTCTGTTTACAGTAGTTGCCATCCTGCTGCATGGTAAATCTCTGCCCATCTTTCATAAAGTTTTTGAAATGAGGATTGCAAATCCCAGTAGGATGCAGAGGTACTGCAGAGGTGTATTGATATATTGTCTAAACCAAATAAAAAAAAAAATCAGAAGATACCAAAGAAAAAGTTGAGTAAATCTTTGGGAGGTAGATAAACCCAGTTTTATAATCAGTACCTTTGCATACTGCATCAACAACTTAATGGTGACTATTGAAACTGGTTCCTCACTTGCAAACTAGAGGCAAATGCCCATTGCGGCATTCTTAGTACTCTCGTGATCCCTTATGTTCTCAGGCTGTCATGCTCACAATAGCAGCATTGTAAGAGTTAGACAAGGATCTGTCACCTTGCTTAATAACAGGCGATTTCACAGAAAAGGCTTCCTTTAGTCCTCCCTTATTAGGATTAGAACATCACCATCCTTAAAAGAGTAAACCGCTGGCCTGCAGAAGAGTGTAAACGATGTAAAGAGTAAAACTTTAGGCTCAAGAAGTCTTCCACATGGGGAAACACAAAGAACCCAACTACAAGACTTGGTCAACTTGTTTTCTTCCTACCAGGAATACTAAAATAGAACATAGTGAAAACTGCAATTTTGCTTGAAAGAGGAACATACTTTAATACTTTTATATTACCACCACACAAGTATCAAAGGTTTATATGATGTCCAGACTTAGTGATGACTTTGGAGTTGGTTTATATTCATTTTGTTGTATATTTTCAGATGGGATTAGTTCTAATACCCTCTGGCATTTACAGGTTAATCCCAGACACACATCAGGGATGAACTTGGGAAATGTACGTGGTACAAGCCTAGTTATTGCCATGTCATTGGATTTTCCCACTCTTTAGCTGCCCGCAGGTCCTACAGAGTTACAGCTGTGTGACTCTCTTTCCGTTTTTTTACTTTCGGTTTGATAAAGCACATAAATCACATCTTGGGATATTGTTTGGTAACTTCATCATCCTTTTCTCACTACTTTTTTTGATGATCTGCCTGCTGTGTTTCTTTGTCTTCCTAATCCTTTTTTAAAAATGCTTCTACCAAACCCCCAGGAGTAGATGCACTAACTGGACAAAAAGCATTACAGAAACTGATTCTACATCCTGATTAAGAGATTTGTTGAGGGAATGATTTGCAATTATTTAAGGTAAATCAGAGTAAAAAATAAGCAGAATACATATTGGAACACCATCTTTTGGGGATTTTACGTCAAGAATGTCTTTACCTCCATAGTTAAGTGATAAATATGCTACGTTTTGTTCTTGACCAAAGTCTTGATAAAATCATAAAGGTTTTTATTTGTAATATGGTTACATGTGAAAGCAAAAGGGGGTAGGGATACTTTTAGCTGCTGGAGAACTGTTGGTAATGTTATCACATGTACGCATCCTTCAGGTGTGAATGTGCATAAATGATTGCTTGACTTTTTGTCAGACATTGTAACTTGAGTTTGAGACATACCAGCATGTGGCTGTTAAAGAAAAAAATATTTTAGCATTTGAATAGGTTATGTTCCTGTGTCTCTTCCCAATAAATAGTAAAAAGATGCATTTTAAATATGTTAATTTTAACTTTCAACTAAGTATATGTTACAGCATGCCCCTTGTTCTACTTATGTCAAGAGTTTGCATGTAATTGTGTTTTTTTTTTTTAGTTTGTAGGGTTTCGAACGACTGCCAGTGTTAGCTTTAAAGGCATACTGTGTAACATTTTGCCACTAGAGGCGCTAGACCTGTAACTGTACGTATTTTACTTCTACTAAACAACAAAAGTCATAACAAAGACATATGACTGTATACTAGGAGCAAAGTTTTAACTTTACTCTAATAATAGCGTTAAGAAAAGAGAATCGGTTTTACATCCAGCTACTTCTTTCAGCCTGCGTCAACGAACAACTCTTGTTTTTCCTCACGTACGATCTTGTTCACTTTTTCTCTTTTTAGCCTCCTCAGAAGGCTGTATATTAGTCTGAGAAATAATTTAAAATAACTCACATGCGGTGTGCCTTTAATCTAAAAATTGTATTTCTGTCATCCTTATGGCAAATATGTTTATGTGGCTATAGCCACATTTGGAATAAATTACAAAAATAAACTTGGAGAAGCAGGACAAATAAGTTTTGTCGTAAATATTTATTTCTAAAGTCTTAATTTTGAACTTAAATCCCATTACATTTATGTGCAATATTTGAATTTTTTGCTATATTTCGATAAGGATATTTATTATTTGACTGATTTGACATTTTTATGTGTGATTTTTATCACTACATAACTTTTAATAGTTGGTGGATGATATTAGACCAGCATTGCTCTGCATTTATGTCCATAATGTTGTGAATTTACAAATAAATTAAAGAAAAAACAACTTATGAGCATCACAGCTTTTTGTTGCTGTGTGTTGGAACAGCCAGTAGTCCAACACACAGTTAGAAGCTCCTCCCATGAAAAAAATTAGAAAATTAGAATTGATTTAAGACATTATTAAAAATTATTATAATACTTATTACTTCAATTGTATTTATTTTTCTTCTTTTTTTATACCCAGGAGAGTTTTAAGCTAAAACATATTTCTAATGCTACCCTTTGATTTTGTTCTCCTTAGATTATTACAACACCAACAGTCTCTCCATTACAGCCTAAGGCTGGTGTAGAAAAGGTGAGGAGGGAATCATGCTGTTTCATTGTTGGTTTTTGTCCTTTAAAAAGCAAAACGCTGTTACTGTAAAAGGGCTGTCTATTTAAGTCTGTGTCTCTCAGAAACATTACATAAAACCTACCCTGTCAAATTTGACAAAAATTGATATTAAAGTGAAAATGGGCAAATTAAAATTGCTAACATTTTGGTGTGACATTACTTTTGCTTCAATTTCAAAATAGGCCTTCAGGCTTGAAAGTGTTGGTCCTTTTTAGTTGTAATTGCAACATTTATACTCTGTATGATGCTTCACTTTTGTAGCTATCCATATTTAAGATTTGTTCTGCTTGTACCACCAGGAAAATGTGGCACTGCCTACTCCTCCGACAGCAACAGGAGAACCAGATGAGGTACAGGTTCCATTTTAAATCTTATAGATTTATTTAAAACCAATTTTTCCCTAAATCTTTGCATGCTTTGGATTCGAAACCTTTGAACCCTTCACATGTCATAAGGTCATAGGTCATAATAGATAACATTTTCAGCTTTGAAAAACTCCAAACCTAAGTTAATCTGAAAATATGCTGCAAGACTGAGTTTCAAATGTTTCACAAAGAAGAATGGGCAAAAGTTGGAATAGAATCAGCAGTTTTTTATTTATATTTATGCAAAATCCTGATTTAGCATGGCTAAAAGCTGTGATACGTCACCGCACAATTATGGTCTACCTTATGGATGTCTCTGCATAGAATCCAATAAATGCTCTTGTCAAAATGTGAAAAACTTCCTATGACATTATTTTGCCTGATACTAATTCTACTCAAAATGCATGTGGGATTCTCTTATGATGCTTTATCCTAAAAACTTCACCAGTTTAAACAGTGCATATATCCATGTATCTAACAGCAATGCACAAACATTTATCAGATGGTTGGACAGAATGTTTTTTCTGTGCAGCATGCAAATTCATTCTTATTAATCTTGCTTGTTTAAAAATAATGCAAACATCTAAAATGCACAAGGTTTAGACCTTTAATATTTATATTTAGTAGAAAATATCTGGAGTTAATTTTAATTCCTCTCTCTGTCTCTTATGTCTTTAAACAGGAACTCTCTTAATTTCCCAGAGACTACAAACTTTATTACTATTCACTGACGATAAACTGTGAGGGATTTGGTGAAGATTCCTGAAACCGAACAACATTTCCCAAAAGGGATCTCCTTCCCATACAAAGAAAATATTCCAAATCTATGTCCATACAATTGTTGTTGTTTTTTCTTGAAAAAGAGCATATTAGTGGTGTAGACCTCATGTTCATTCAGTAGGTCCAGCATAGCCACAGTTTGTTGACTTTTTTTTAATTCCAAATTAATTTATTCCAATGGCTTTTAGCGATTAGGCATCATGTATACTATAGCTTTACAGTTTGATTCGATGTGTCTTTAGAGGTTAAGGAAATTATATTTATTGACACATATTTTGATGCTTTAATTTTTCAAATATTTTAATTACAATTATTTCAATTCTGTTTTGAGCTGTTATGTGGATACATTTGGCACTGTTTCCACTGGTGAAAGTTGTCTGTCATTCCTTTGTATGTATTTAACCTCTTTGTAAATTTATGTCAAAGTAAAATTGTTACACACTGTAAGCCAGTCTCTTTTTAATTTTTTGATTGTTATAAAAATCCATTACACATTTCAGAAAAAAAGCATGTGAACACACTGCTATTTTGCAAGTTTGCCCACTTAAAAATCATGGAGGGGTCTGAAATTCTCATCGTAGGTGCATGTCCACTGTGAGAGATATAATAAAAAAAAAAAGAAATATAAATGTGTGTAACTATTTTGTAACTATTTATTTTTATGATACAGATGCAAATAAGTATTTGGAAACCTGCGAAAATCTATGTTAATATTTGGAACAGTAGCCTTTGTTTTCAATTACAGAGGGATTTCGGACCACTCCTCCACACAGATCTTCTCTAGATCAGTCAGGTTTCTGGGATTTTGCTGAGAAACAGAGTTTGAGCTCCCTCTAAAGATTCTCTGTTGGGTTTAGGTCTGGAGACTGGTTCTGGCCAAGCCACAACCTTGATATACTTCTTCTAAAACCACACCTTAGTTATCCTGGCTGTGTTCTTCATTGTCATGTTGGAAGACACAGCCTCGACCCATCTTCACCCCCAGTGCATGATGCTACCACCCCCATGCTTCACAGTAGGGCTGGTGTTCTTGGAATGGTACTCATCATTCTCCTCTCTATATCTTCACTTACTGACTACATAAATGAAGTGGTGAGCTATACTTTCTCTCATTAAAACCTCTTTAAACATATTTTGTGACAAGTGTATGGTATGGAAAAAACATTTGTACACTGCCTTCATCAGTTACTGCCACTGCTGGCAGAATAAAACACTGCAGCTGTAAACAACCCCACCCTCAATAGCCAAGAAAGTACTGGGTCTCAAAGGGACCAAATCCCGAGGGAAGGGAATTTACCCAGGTTAACTTTTAAGAAAACTCTACCTGAGCTTTTATAAGCTCCAGGGCTTTGGAGTAGGACTATAGAAAAGGGGTTAATTTTGAAGGTTTGCTTTGTTCAGATAATTTACCATGCTCCTCACTGCTCAGGTGTGAAAACCCTACAGCAAGAGCTTGAAAAAGTTCAGTCTAGGCAACTCGACATAAAGTTTTCTAAAAGATGTTTTGCCTCTCATCCAAGAGGCTTCTTCAGTTCTAACTAGTTCTAACTAGTTGGGAGCACTGAAATGAATATACTGTAGGTCTATGGCAAGACTATCTAGGGCCTTGTGGAAGAAGATTGTAACTGCTGATGATTCTAGGGGCCTGAAATCAAACATTTTGTCAACACAACAGCCAGTTGAGAGGTAACGCACAACACCCCTACAGTGAAACTTGCCATGAAAACAGCTTCAGAGAGACAATGAAAAATAATTGAGCAAGATATATACAATTACATGACTGCAGAAAAAAATAACACCAATGCCTTTGGTATTAGCATTGTTATGAAACATTAAAGCCTACCTCAACAACCGCTTTATGGTCAGTTCTGTCAGAAATGTGTTTAGAGCTACTCTCTCATAAACTAGAGTCTCTGCATGTCGTAAGAGCTGATGTCTGACAATGGGGTCCCTAACAATGTTATTTATATAAATTCATTTGCAATATTCTATTTAAAAGGTAAAACAGTTTTACCCAGGTGAGCTGGGTAGAGACATTTTTTAACTAACTGAAAACAAATAACTTCTTTGATTCCTGCAAAATAAAAATTTGTGGCACTTAACAGGCACCTGGACTTCAAACCAGAGTGAAAAGAGACACCTTTAGGCATGACTCAATGGTAGGTTTCAGATGGTTTTCTACAAAGAAATGAAAAATAAATGAAAGTTTTTAATATTTTAACAACAACATGGCTTATGTAATAAGTTTCACGTTGCAGGTATTTATGCCAGGTGCTCCAGGTGGAAGAAATCGGATTAAAGAAATACAAAAAGTAATTCTCTATTCTCGTTATATCCCTTCTTTAAAAATTAATGCTTTAAAACATGAAAATGCAATTTCCTGGTGCCTGCAGAGCAGGTATAAGATTTTGCACTTATTTTTTGTTGCAGCAACTGGCCTCTGGTGCTCAGGGTTACAACAAATGGAGAGTAAGTGTGTGATCTGCAATGTACAACACAAATATTTAGAATGTTTTTGAGTTATTTTCATTTTAAAAAATACACTCATTTCTATAATGAAACTTGCTTTTTCTAGACAGAAAAGCTCCTCAACAATGTCAACAGTAGAGAAATGGAAGAGAAAAAGCTATACAGTGAGATAAACAGAGAGGTAATATTTGGAGAAGATGATCTGACTGGAGGAGAGGGGGTAGCCGAACCAGGTGGATACCCAGAAACTGACCCGGATCCAGTCTATGAGGAGATAGAGGAGGAGAGGAGTGGCGACTATGACTGGGAGATGGAGGAAGATGTAGATCGGGAAAGGGAAAATGAAGAGGAAGAGGAGTTGGAGAGGCAAAGAGAGAGGGAGAGGTTGGAAATGGAAAGGGAAAGAGAGGAGCTGGAGAAGGAGAGGGAGGCTGAATATGAGATAGAGAAAGAGGAAGATGTGGATGGGGAGACGACGGAGCAGGACGTTGATAGAAACTTGGAAAGGGAGGAGAGGGAAAGGCAGAGGGCAGAGATGGAGAGGCAAAGGTTGGGGGGATACAGTGAAGAAACTGGACAGCCATCACCTTATCCTCCTGAGTACTTTTTTCTGAAGGTAAGAACACAAAAATAAATCACCAAAGCACCCTAAGACACTGAATAAAATATTAAAGGTAAAGTGGAGGATTTTCGCTAATTTTTGAAAAGACCCGCCACCTCTGATTAAATAAAATGCACATGCACAACCCTGCGCCAGAGAGGGAATGCCTATTAGAAAGCTGCGTGAAGCTGACACCCCACCCACGTCAAAAAACTCTGCAAATAGACTGAATGGTTAGTGCAACGTTAGTGCAGATTTGTGCAGAAAAAAATATCGTTTGTGCTACTTTTGTTTAAGAGAGCTCTATTAGAACCATGTGAGAGCGTGAACAAGCCCATTTCTCATCATGCACGCTCTGTTTAAAAGTTGCTGTTTGCATCGCTTACTTTCCAAAAGAAGATTTGCAATTTTTTCACTATGTCAGACTCACCACTTATTTTGTTGATCCACCTGGAGTAAGAACATCATCCGCTATACCTTTAATGATAAAACAATCCTCATCATGAAATACGGTAGCTCACCCAAAATCATAGATATTTTAGAGGATCCTAATTTAAACATTTTTATTTCTATTGTTGTTCGCCTTAATAGCAGCACTTAATTTACATTAGATTTTATATTTTTTAAAAAGATTAGTGTATAATTGATACTCCGATTTAAATTTTTTCGAATAGAAAAAAAAACAAAACAGGTTTTTTAGCCACATTGCTAGCATACTCAATTGAGATTTAGGTTTGTGTTTTAAATTTCAGAATATGCATGAAATCCATACTTGGATCTATTTACTCATGTGGCAAATAGCATTTTATTTATTTTTTTTATGGTATTGAATGTGTACTTTGCATGATTAAACTCAAATATTTCATAGATGGGTTTAGCAGTTCGGAAAAAATATGTTTTAATGTAATACATATGTGTTTCCAAAATAGTAAAAAAATCCACTAGACTTTTGTTTCCTAGTGGATTCTTTTTTTTTTTTTGACTTTTTTGGAATGACTATGACATGGCTGACTGAGAATCTTCACCAGCACACATATGTGTTTGTTTGTCTACTGCAGGGGCACCCAGGTGAAAATGGGAAACCGGGACCAAAGGTGACTACTGATTTATATTCATATTTATATGAACTGGTAAATACACTGCCCAACAATCTATCCTTGAAAAGATAAAGATAGATATTATATAAAAACTTTTTTTTTTTTATTTGAAATCACTTTTAACAAGAGTTGTGAACATTTTACTGCTAATTGATAATTGTTGAGATGTTTCATAAAATTTATGGCATCCATGACTCTTATGTTGGGCTGAGTGAGTTAGGTCTGTGATCAATAATTTTGTATCAAACGATTTTAGAGATTTTTAAACCAGAAGCACAGAGATTAACTAATTTAACATCATTACCAGATTTGATATAAGCTCAGTTAACACATTTTAAGCAGAGATATAATAGAATTGTCTCAATAAATTTAAAACCTTAGTTTTCACATAGATGTTACAGAATCCATTAATTTGTGAAATGAATCGATGTTTATGACAAAGAGGAAGATTATGCCATTGCTGAAGGAGCAGATTGTGTCTCTCTGTATCAATCACAGGTTTATTACACACATCATAGGAGTGGTTCTATAGAACTGTGACATAAGGGTTTTTAGTGAGAGAACCCACAGATGGATGCATATTTTCTTTAAAGAATAGAACGTGTCCTTTTTTCATATCCTGACCTCAACAGATCAGATCATGCATTTCTAAATTTTGTTCTAAAACTGGAACTCTTTATTTGCAGCTTTTACATACAAAATAAATGTATAAAGATAATAAATGTGTAACCTATATAGCCTTTAAAAAATCTAAGTATCACAGGATGAGTTGATTTAAAAGTCAAACAGATTACTATACCATTCTTTTGGACTGGATGGCTGTCATGATCGGTTTAACAAATTTGACCCACATGCAGAAAAACCACTCAGAGAGCACGGAAAAAGTTAAACAGGTTTATTGAAGGCGCTAACAGGAGTTGGATCTGGAACACAGTGAGCAGGTGAACCGGAACTGGAAGTGAGAAGGGAACTTCAGTGGTCAGTTCAGGTACTTTGGGAATCTTGGAAGCTCTGAGATTTGCAAGGTGAGGAACTCACGTTTGTGGGGGGTCTTGTCAATCCTTGAATCCAGACTGTGTTGTTAATCCAGAGAAGGGAGCAAACGTTGGAGGGCGGACAGGTAGACTAGCGTTGGATCTGGAGCAGCAAAGGAGCGGACTGTCACTCAGATTTCCGATGCCAAAAATGGCAAACACTCTGGTGTCGAAGTAGTGACAGTCCACTGCTCAAATACT